GTTTGAAACATGGTGGAAAATTTGCAGGTAAGTCGACTCATGCCTAACAGGGATGTAGGGCTCAACAGACTGACCAGCACCACATTTTACCATAGCCAAATTATCAAGGGCTTTATACTTAACATTTTTGTAGCCTGCTATAAAATGAGATCAGCAAAGTTAAAATAAGAATGAATTGCATCTCCCACGTGTCAAATCTTGTGATGGCTAAGGTTGCTGTTCCCAAATCTATGCTAGAAGGGTATTTCTGCCACTTCCCCAAGGAGGCATCTCTTGCTGCTTACTGATGCAGCAGGCAACTTCACGAGTGTCAGTAACGGTGTCTCTTTTTTTAGCTGGAAAGTGGGGAGAATACAGAATGCTACAATGCGAATATTCCCTTCTGTCCAGCCTTCCCTGTCCTGGGGGAAAACTGAAGGAATCTTGAACAGATATCATCATCATAAAGTTAATATTCCCAATTTCCTTATAGGAAATACCAGGCCTTAAATCTTCTGACTGAAAAACTAAGCTTCAACCAGTTCCAAGTGAGGATTTGTTAGGCAACAGTCCCGATCTCTGCAGCAAATACTCTTGCGGTTACATCCATATCTTCCCCATCCCTCCCTATCAGCAAAACAGTCTCACTGGGTGCAGGGCACCCTTAAATTCATTGTGTGCCATGCGCTTCCTCACGGGCTCAGGCAGCAGGGTATGTTTGTGTGCACAGAGCCCGGCTCCCACACAGGGGCTGGCATCATCCTCGTCTGTGGAAGGACGCTGGCACCCACGGCCATTGCACCAGGGCGCGGATGAACGCTGCCAACACCACAGTTCTGCAGCAGGCCAGTGGCTAAGCGCACGAGGTTACAGTTCACCACGGTACGGACCAGCTGTGGGGCATCTAATCCCCTAGCCCTACACGACATCTTCACGGGTGGCCTTGCTCGAGCACCCCTGCAGCAGCAAGGCCAGGAGGCTGCCGAGTCCTGGCTCGCCTGCATTCCCTCCTAACACACAGACCAGTTAGGCAAAACAACAGCTAATTTAAAAGCAGCTTCTGCAATAGCTTGAAAATTACAATACAGCCCTACCCACCCCTGCCCCAGACAAGAAACACTATTAGCATCTGTACTATTCACCTCCAATACAAAAAATATAGTGGCAAATCCCTAGACATAGATTGTATTTCTGGACAGAACAGTGAACATGGATACTGACAGCTTCTTTATTTTTTTTTCCCTTGTGGCAATGAGTCGAACATCAGTTTTGTTTTCTGCATTACAGACACTGTTACTATTAAATGATTCTCTGAGGGCTTCTTTAAGCTTAGAGTGATTTATTTGTTTTGTTCATGTTGGAAAGGAGATTTTTTTTGAGACTATTAATATTAGTACAGGTAGGGTGAAGAGCTAGACTGTTCATTTACTAGGAAATGATTCATGACCTTTTGGCAATGGATGGAGTTTGATTTGTCACTGCAAGTATTCAGTGTGCTATCATCTACCTTGGGTTTTACCTTACTGTATTTGCCCAGGAATCCCTTAAAGTTTTAACTGATTTTATCCAATTTTCATCACTATCTCCATGTGCCATTTGACAGGCTGCAGCAGGAAAACTGAGCAGGAAGATGCCTAGAGCAGGAATAAGGGCAGGGGAATAATTTTGCTAAAAGCAACTGCCAGGAATGAGCAATCCACAGAAAACTCTCTTCAGCAGCTCTAACTTGAAGAAGTTTCTCAGCAAGTCATGTGGTCACCTCTATTACTGTGTAAAAAGTATAAATTAGGAAAATAAAAGCCAAAAAGATGTATTTTCAGATATTTCACAGCTGCTGAGGACTTGGAAATAACTCCCTTTTTCTCTCTGTTGCTAACTATCCAAGATGTAATACAGGTCTTTGCTTCGAAGTCTGTTTTGTAGGCAGAAAAAGACTGAAAACTCTCAAATAGCCAACAGAAATCCACAACTGTTTCTTATTTTAGCTTCACAGTTACAAAAGTCCAATAAAATATTTGTGGGAATATATCTTGGCATTAAGGGACTTGCACTGGTAAATGAGGTTTGCATTGAAATCCATGGAGCAGGCATCTTTTACGTGGGGGCTTAAAGGATTTTAATGTAAGCTACTAAGATTGCACAAGCAATGTTGTAGAAACTGTAGATTATCTTTATGATGCTGCATTCTTAAATGACTCACAGTGCCGAAATATCTCCCAAAATGCTTAGGAAGGTGAAAATATATTCAAACAGTCTCAGGTGATATAAACTCAATGTGGCTGTTTCACTGTATCAGACTCAGCACAGCTAGACAGAATCTTCATGTACAATGTAGGACTTCCCCTCCTTTTACTTTTTTTGTTTGCAAAGGTTTTTTTTTTTTTCCTTCCCATTATTTTTCAAAAGCTGTAATTTATACAACAGAGGAAGGGAATCAGTGTTGAATTTCTGATGTCTAATCCTGGTTCAGATGCCGACATCTGTGTTTTGGATCAAATTATGTACATCCAGATTAAAAAAAAAACACACAGCATAGATGCGGAGAACAGGCTTCTGGAATTTTAAGACTGCTCATCATTTTCCAAACATATATTTATATATTATTTGCATAAAACTGTGAATTACCATTCTGCGAGAGTATTACATTGCAAAGCATCCTTACCACAGCCTTTGTGGGAAAAAGCTGTCAAAAATCAGCTGCTTCCTACTGAGGAAAAGAGGAAGAATCATTTAGCCTCTTAAATTATATGGCTCTCTGTTATCGGTAGCACAAAACCCATTTGTGGCCACTGCATTTACAGGAAGCCCCTCCAAAAACCCCTAATTTCTCCAGCTCTAAAGCGGGGACAGTAGGTAAAAAGGGAGGGGAAGTGGCATTAGCCTCTATAAGTTTTATCATGCCGTGATGCTAGCATAAAACAACAGAAGGCGCGCTAGGAAACAAGCCCATCTCTACTAGATAGGTCATCAACAGATACGAATGCCCCAGGAGTAGGGGGAAAGTAGCCACTTTTTCCACTCAGAATTCTAAGTGAAGTTCCAGTCTACAAGGGCATCAAAACAGAAACAAGTTACAAAAAGCCCTAAGTAACTAACTGTGTTCTTGAGTCAGAGCCACCAAAAAAATTGCAGGCAAGCTGCTTTCACAACACTGAACAGAACAGGAACAAAACCTAAAGGGAAAACTCATAACACTTCCCCAAGCACTGGAACATTAAAATCTTACCTGGGGCCAGCGCGGAGCGGTTTTGTTCCGCCACAAAGAGCGGGTCATAGTTAGCAGCTCCCTCCGCCAGCTCGGCCTTTTCCAGCCCTTCCCTGGAGCGGAGCAGGGCGGCCCAGCCAGGGGCCAGTTCTCCCTCAGTTTGCAGAGCGGAGTGGCACTGCACACAGAGGCTTCTCAAAGCCAGCAGCGTCTGCAAAGTGACCGCTGCATTTCCTGAGGCAGAGCTTTGCAGTGTGAACTCCTCATAGCAGCTGGTTGCAACCCCATAAGTGGTGTTTAGCTCAAGAACATTTGGAAAACAAGGAAAGACAACACAGAGAGAGGGTCACAAAGACGTGAACCTGTTACACAACCTGCGTGGCTGTATTTAGGTAACTAAGCTCAGCTAGTTTGAAAAAGCAACAAGCAAATTCAAACTGCACCCGAGACGTTCTGGGACTGGAGCAGGTTTCCCAGACAACGGCAGCTCACTACCATTACAGTGCTCTGCTGCGGATGCCACGGCCCATTTTTCATTTTTTAATTCATGATACTTTGTCCAATGCAGAACAGGTTTTAGAGGAGGAGGAAATGGAAGTCGCTACAAATAAAAGCCAAACACAGAGCCATGTGTTGCTGATAAAAGCAGCAGCTTGGTGCTGAATAAGCTGGTATTTTTGTCTCAGTTTTAAATATGCTCGCAGCCATTCTGATTTCCCCATCACAAACATGAAATCTCATGTCAGGTGGCACGAAATACTAACATGCAAAAAAATGTTTCGGGTGGTTAAATATCTTAAGTGTGTCTTAAGATTCTATTCCAGACAGGTGAGCTGGAAAAGCAAGGGCAGCTGCAAATTCAAATCAGAGAGAACAAGTGAAGTCTGGCATCAAAAGCAGGTAATTGTACTTTTAGAGCTGGCATCTTGGATGGAAAGACCAGTTTTAGGTAATTATGGGGTGCACACTGAGTAGGTACCCACTGCACTGTCATCCTTCTCTCAGACAGATGTGGGGGTAGACGGCATTAATGCTGCTGTTCAGTTTCTTGCAGTGTCGTAAAGCTCTTTCTTAGAGCTTCTTAGAGTTCATGTTGCTACTTTACACTGACTGTGCTCACATAACCAGTGCTGATAGCCAAGGGCCAGAGCTAACGAGCAAACGTACTGGTTAAATCTGGCTTAGTGCAGGTTCTCTACGACACTCACAGTGACAGTTTTTTTTTTTTTTTTTTTTTGGTTCATTTGAAGTAATAAATTATTCTTGCATGAAATGGATAAAAAATTAAGGAGAATTCTCCAGTTAAATTCTAGTTTAGGTGGTAAATGCAAAACTTCTGTAGCTAAAACCAAATGTTAGCTTTGTTATATTGTTGAATCTGTGAAAATTGTGCTAAATTGGCAAATTCTAGAACGAACTTCAACCAATTTGGGAGCTTTAACCACGCGGGGCTTGTTGTTTCAATTTGAGACCAAACCTAAGCAAAATTGTGCTGTACTAGTTGAATTCACCTTCACTTTTTAACCGAATCCCCAAAGATGGAGGAACAGAAAGTGCAACTTGCTAAAACTGGGCTGGCAATTTCTGGTTTCATTTGGTTGCTGAAAGCCCCTTATCTCCCCTCCCACCCCCCCATTGAACAATTTTTGACTAAGTCTGCAAAGTGGGAACTTCATAGTGGAGGATTTTGTTGCGTTCTTCGGTTAACAGAATATCCAGGAAAACTGCCATAAAGGTACATTCATTCGGGGAGCAAATTTTGGAATTATTTGGATGACAGTTGCAGTCACAGGGCTGTTTTTCAACAGTCCTGCCACTAGATTAAAGCAAATACAAAGTGACTCTGCGATGCCATCAAAGGGCACCTTGAACCCACCCTTGAAATGCGGTGAATTAGAGAGGTGCAGGACAAAAGCGACACAAGGCCCCACCACAACAAACCTTTAAACTACAAGTGACCTCTCATGGCTTTACATATTCAATACGCTATTTGCTGATTATCACTAGGCATTTTTTCCTAAATACAGTATAAAAGCTCTACGCACCTCACCCCGTCCTGCCCCTGGGAATGGCAGGTGTGTAGTTTAGTTTTTGACACTAGAACATATTTCAAATATAGAACAAAGGAGAGCGCTGGGCCCGGGAGAAGCCTAAATTTTCCTTATTACTGAGATGATTTGTAATGGGGGCAGCTTCTGCTCCTCCAAATGAAAACTGCATTGTCGAACTTAATGTTTGTTCCTTATACACACTGTGCACGGATCCTTACTCCCTCCCTGCCAAAGAGACATTTTAGTGTAAAAATCAAAGCTGGCCATTGATTCTTGAATGGAGAGGAGACGACTAAAGTCCGTTCTGTCTGCTGTAGCTGAAGTCAGCCTCCTCCATCTCAGTTTCTGTTATGTTTGAGATTTTGGAGTGTGTCCTTCCTATTTCTTCCAGAGCACATGCTAGGGAGTCAAGGTCACCATCGTGCTGATGTCGGGCTTCCCAGAGGTCCAAAATGACAGCAGATGGACTGCTCTGTGTAGCAAAATATGAGAGATTCCTAAAAGGAGAATAGAAAAAGGTGACGTAAAAGCATTTGAAAAGCGCACACTGTGACTACCGTGAACTTGGGGAATTAAGATGCTTTTCTTAAACACACGTTACCTTAAATCACCTTTTGCAGTTGCTTTGGACATAATCATCCACATAAATCTACTGTCTTTGTGTACATAAGCCTAAATGTTATATAAAGCATTTACTTGGTTAATCCTGAGATGCCAAATCCTGATTTGAAACTCCTAAGATCATGCCCCTTTTATCATCCACAGACAAAGGAGTAAGTTGTCAGGCACAAGATGCGTGGAAAAGAGTAAACAGGTAGATGTCAGCTGGGTGTTTTTGCCTGCTCTGAACATGCTTTGCTTGTAACTGTAACCCGGTCTCTTCAGTGAGGCCCATGAAGATGACAGTGTGGTCACCAATGCCTTGCCCCTTCCCTGCTCTCCAGTTAATTCCATACAGTGGGGATCATGCTCTGCATGGGCCGCATGCTACTCCCTGGTTTTACAGGTGTATTTAGGGTCACATAACCTCCTGTTAGCAAAACAAACAATGCAAAGACCTTTGCAGGTCTCTGCACACAGTCCAAAGTTGAAGGGATGTGACAAAGCTTGGTCTTAGGCACAGCACTCGCTTAGCACGCTGCCTCTGAGATGCCTCTAAAAGGGGGGATTTTTCTCTAGTTCACTTACACATGAGAAATGGAAGCAAAGAGAGATTTAAGTGCCTAACAACAGGTAGTAAAAGCCAGTGACTGAACCAAAATTTTATGACTTCCTCTCTGCTGCCTATAAATTACTCTCTTTTTTTTTAGTTCAGATTTGGCCTATTGAGATTCCCATGGAAAGCAGCAAGCCGAGCGTGTTTTGCTTGACTTAAGTGTTCCTCTACCCCCCTGGGAATATGCTGGTGGAGTTCATGGGAAGCACAAAGTATTTCTGGGAGCAAACTGCTATTGCCACATCAGTTTAGCCAGGTGAAAAAGGCAAAATGAGCAAATTAACTTCTACAGTGTCTCATTTTTAGCAACAGTAATATTATTCTTAACAGTATAGTAAGACTGTCTTTGAATATGCCTTTGACTTTAAAAAAATGCAAAATATCTAATTCTTTTTGAAATAGAAAACATGAGAATAAAAGCTATTAAAAAGGCCATATTCTAACCCTGCAACAACCTGATTTTTCTGAGAGAACATGCAGCCTTAGAAGTCCTTTAATTCTCTGGTTCCATAATACACCATAGCACCCAAATCCTTCTGTAGTCACCTGCTTTCCCAAGCCCCCAGTCCTGCAGGGGTGCAAGGAAAAGGGCCACGCTCTAATGACCTGAATTTACAAGGCAGACTTGGACACAGGCTCATTTAGAGGGAAAAGCCATCCCTGTTTTCTGTAGTCAGTCGTATATAAAAGAATGTATGAACTGCAGTTTACCCTTGGGAGTACGAATGGTAATTACTATTCACACGTCTTTAATACCAGCAAACAAAAAATACCATAATAGCAGCAAATTATTCCCACTGCGTATGTAAATGTTCACCTTTCCAAACTGCCTCCCGTTACCTGTTGATGCTGTTTTTCTGTGCTAACATCTGCCAGTCTTTGCCTTTGGCGCTGGGTGTGTCGAACGTTGCGCATATTCTCTGTCTGATAGAGTAGGGGATTTTGAAGGCTTTGGGGCCCATCTGTGCAGCGAAGTTGGTGTCATCGTGTGCAAAGAAAGTGATGGTTTCCCTTTCATTCTGTGCAGAAAACAAAACAGAAACGCAGCAGTTACCAGGGTGTCGGGCTTGGTGACACCGCACCTGGGGGTGTGATGGTGACGTCCGCGCTCCCGTGAGGCAGGGGACAGACACCAACCCCTTTCAGAGCAAGAGGAATGAGATGCCAGCTAGAGCTGGTGGAACTGCTAACTGGAAAAAAAAGAGCTAGGAAATTTTTGTTTTTAATTTTGAATTCGTACATCATGAGCATAAATACACTTTTCCTTCCACTGGTTTCCCATGTTCTTTTTTGAGAGGTTACAGAGAAGGTCCAATACAGCAGTGACCAGATAAACCATGAAAGGAAGGGGCTTTCATTGCTTTAGCCTAAATACAGACATTTAGGACTCCCCATTCATTTCTTTAAAAAGCACCTAAATTCTGTAAGTCACCTCAGTTCTGCCGTTCCTAAAATCCCCTTTGAATTCAACGCCTCTTGGTAGCTCTGGTCCCGGTGTAACTGTGCTAGTCTCGTGTCAGAGTCTCACATTCCCATGTATTATTCGTTTCAGTGCCGAGCAGCATAAATATTAAATAACAATGATGCTACAGCCTTTTCATATAACATTTACGACACATCCCAAAAGTCATCCATGCAAAGTAATAGCAATGTTGTAGATAGATCACATTGTCTGACTGTTTTAAATTAAATATGCAGAACAATAGTAGATTTTCATACCCTGTGCATGAGAGATAAGCTACTGCTATCGGGTTAGTTCAGGGAATTATAAAGTAATGAGTAGTTCAGGTTATTTATTTATTTTACAGTCAAATTATCCTCACCCTTCCATCACTTTTAGAGATGGGGATGAGAAAGTCTTCCGTATTAGTGGATCTGTTTGAAGAGGGAATTACAGCATGCTCTGGGGACTTGTGGACAGGGATAGATCCCTTTGTAAAAAGTAAAAACAAAAAAACGCCAGCAAGATTTTACTCAGATACAGGGAATGACAGAAGCTTTTAATGAAATTACAATGAAGAGCTTAACAGAAAAAAAAAATACTTAGCCATATTCTGAGCATGGTTTTATACTGAATGGCTGTGGTAGCCTTAATTAAGCTGCCCTGTTTCCTGCATGTGCACTATGCAAGTGGTCATACATCTTTAATCCAGAAGTATCTGGATACTTATGAAGCACTAATAAAGAAAGATGCTGAATAATAATATGAAAAAGGCTCAAAAATACTCTGCTAAATGAACAGCTGGTGTTCAGTGTCCTTTCTCAACCCGCAGCTCTCTGCGAGCTGTTCAAAAGCTTTTTGCAAGAAAATTGGTACAACTGGCTCAATTCTTAGCTGTTTTTTGTGTTGTGGAATTCCTGTATATGCACACGTCTAGTCCTACACGAAAAAATCTGCAACGTCCTGTAGACTTGCAGATTTGGCCAAGATGTAAGGAATCAACAGAGGCAGAGGCCGAAATGGGAAGGGGCTGTGTCCTGCCTAACAGTAACTTAGCGGTGCAAACCAGCGAGAAGGCTACCTCCAGAATGGACGTCTGGATCTGCAGAATCTGCTCGTGCCCCTTGACTTGCCGCACGCAGATCTTGCAGGAGAGCTGGGTGGTGGCCGGCGTGTAGCGCTCCAGGGAGAAGGCACAGTGCAGGGGCGCCTGGTTGCTGCACCACACGCGGGAGAAGGGCACCTCCTGCCAGAGAAATGCAGCAGGGCAAGGAGAAGGGATAAACAAGCAGAAAGTGTTGCAAAACACAAGTGAAACATCTATTTAACTCTTACAAGAAATTCACATGGGGAAGTGTAGTGGGAGTTTATGCCTTTCCCCCACAGAAACGAGGCTTTTCTCCATTCTTGTCGCCTTCTAAGCAATTTCTTGTGTTTTTTTTTGCTTGTTTCTTGCAAAGTAGGAAGCAGCAAACTTGCTACAAGATGACAATCTATGTCCCTGAAGATATCAGCTAACTAGTGGCAACCTGAGAACACAGGCTTAGAAATCTGCAGAGCAGCGTGGTCTAAAATCAAAGCTGAAATAAGGAGAATTGTTTTACTCATGACTGAAATCTGACTAACTTGGCATCTTCTCAGGAGTGTCTCACGCAATCCACAACAATGCAGTAATAATTACAAACTCTGAGTTTAGATCCTCAGGTGGTAGCCATGGAAGCTACCAACAGCAATAAAACATAGGGAAGTATTACAGTAGAACAACTGTAATTAGATTTTTCCAGAGCAATCATCTTTGCCTTTATTAAAGGTGGAAGAATCATTCCACTGAAAAGTTACATGAAATGTAATTCAGGAGGACAGAGTATGGTGGACAAGGAGTGTTCAAAACACTCCAGAAATACACCAGTTTGAAGCTCCTGTAATAAATAAACTCTAAGCAGAGAGTAGGACACTAAAACCATTTTGTGGGTGCAGCCAGACTGAGGGGGGGAACACAACAGCCAGGAGAAGCTGTGCTGCTGTTCCGACAAATAATTATTACAGTTTTCAGTTGAGTCATCCAAGCCATACTCGGTTACAGAAGGCGAACATGTATTTGCTTTCAGTCTCAGCATCCTGCCAGGCTCTGCTCCCAGCACGTGCTCGCTGTAGCCGCGAGGAGCTGCTGAGAGCAGGGGCCGTGTGTCCTCTGCGAGCGGGGCCTGCAGCACTGCCGTCCTCTCCGAGCAGCCTCTGCTCCCCCACTAGCCAGGGATTCTTCCGTGGTTATGGCTCCCTCTTCGCACTTTTTATTTTTTGCTTTTATCTTGTGGCAATAAATTTAATAGCTGTTTTGGACTGTGCCACTTGCATTCGATTCAGCAAAGTGAGGCCCTTACAACACGTAAAGATTAATACGGAGAAATTTGCATGGCTATCAGGACTTGTTTTAACAGCACCCTGCAGTTCAATTTCAACTGGAAACTCTAGACCATTACTTGCCAACAGAGAACAAAAATACCTGAGTTTAATATGCCATAAACAAAATATTTATTCATGGAAGTGTACCCAGCATTAGGAAAAGTGCTGAACTGCACACAAAGTATTTGGGGCCTCTGAGGCACGCTGAGCACTTGGCATGCACCAGGGACTCAGAACCAGCTAAGCAGATAATGCCCCAAAGAAATACCAGCTCTGCAGAAACAAGGAGGCAGAAATAATCCTCTCAAATTGTTACCTCCAAAGAAACAGGGAGGCCAGAAAACAGCAGCTCTTTCTCAGGTTATCAGTCAGGTGGTTTGCAGGCAGCACACACGTACTGTTTTCTGCAGGCTGTTTTTCTAATTTAACACTGCTATTTAGGTTCTTGGGTTCTATTTATGTAAGCAGCCCTTTTTTGCTGTAGTCTTTGAAGCAACACAAACTTTGGGCCTTTCTGTTGCGGATGCAGTACCAGGGAGTGAACGTTCACCCCTCCAAAGAGCCGCATATTCTGCTACTAGAGTCATTTACAAGTTTCTTCGCTGCAAGGAAAGACCAGGAATTTCCAGCAGTGCAATGTGTTGCTTCCGCAGCAGTCACCATGGTGAGGGAAATTCAATTAAACTTTAGAGATTTTTTTCTCCCATATATTGGCTCTTTGACTAATAAACTTTGTTGACGACAGGCCAGTGGCAGGTGGTTTGTCTGCCTTTTAGAGCCGGCCTGGGAGATCTACACAAGGTGCTGCTAAATGCATTTAATTCTCATCTATTGAATCTTCATTAGAAAGCAGCTACCAGCAAACAAAATCTAAGGGTGCTTAAGTTGAATTTATCATACAGTTTTATTGCTAGAATTGGACAATCAAGAGATTATTAATTAACCAAAGTACTGAATTTTTTTAAAAAATTATGGTTATTTTTTCTAATTGGGCTAAGTAACACCTGACTTGTTGTGTTAAGAGAAAACCCGCATGATTTTTATCACTGCTCAGGAATCTGCCAGTTTTGAATGTGTTTAATATAACAAGAGGGGCATCCTAATATTGATTGGTTTATCTTGTAAGCTATAAAATATATTTATGGAAGGTTGAGAATGATGTAATGATGCTTTTTATTTCTTTCCTTCATTAACTGGGGGCATAAATTACCTCATAGATTACATCATCTAACTTTCAAAATCCATTCTACTCATCTTTTGGAAAATAAGCTATACATTCACAACTGTGTCCCATGCCACACAATTGTCTTAACTATCAACCTGCTTCTGCAGAAAGCGAGATGATCGCCTTGTTAAGTCTGCATGTTGAAGGACCAGCCATTTTCATCTGTCACACTGCTTGTAATTTCTAGTAACCAATACACTTAGAAAAGGCCTCTTTTTTTTTTGATTTATACTTTCCCACCTTCAAAAGCCTCTTTAATTAATGTACTACAGGAAAAACAATTTCTTCATCTGTCCTGATTCTGAGTGTGTACGGGCCTTAATTTAAACTAAAGATTTTGCATGTTTACATATATCCTTGAATTTACAGGTATACATTTATAATTACACAAAATTCAGAATGACAAAAAAACAATATTGAAGTTATCTATCCTTTCACTAGGATAAGCTTATCCTAGCGAAAATTCTTACTGTTCCCTTAATTAAATATAAACAAAATTACCAAGTACCTGACATGCAGTAAATGGTTTAATTCTCCAGAGGAAAGGAGGGATATCAAGGACAGATATCTGAAGACTGAAGGTATTCCCCCTGAAATGCAGAAGTTTTGGTTCCTCCAGTAATTGTCCTCCTTGGAGCTTTTCATCTGAAACCACTTCCTGCAATGGCAGAGGAGAAAAACATTTTAATTACTAGGAAAAAGCACCAATTCAGTGGAAGTTCAGGTTTCTGCCAGGCGCCTGGTCATTGCACAGCAGCAGGGCAGGCAGCAGCGGGGCAGGCGACAGGCCCTGCGCTTCAGGTTGGGTTTTACTGCTGGAGCTCAAGCTGGGCCCGGGCTCTGAGCGCACTCTGTCCCCCTGCCCCAGGATGGTCCCTGTGACACAGTTGGGTTTGGCCACCTCAGTCTCAGTGAGAATTTCAGAGGAAACTTGTCTGAAGGTTCTGCAATTCAGCAGTGGCTATCAAGTCAACGCCAGGCCGTTCTCGTCTAGCTGAACGTCACTGGGCTGAGAGCTGCTCTTTCACAGCAGCGCTATTAGAGAAGCTTCTCCACCCATGGAGACTTCCTGAATTACTGGCCAAGGTGCTCAACAGCCTTGCAGGGGACACCTTGGAAGGCAGCAGCCCTGCTTTGAGCAGGGGTTTGGACTACGGAGCAGATGCCAGATCCAACATAAATTTTCCTAGGAGTCTGTGAGCTGAAGGTGTGTAGTTAAAAACACCATCCCTGCTGTTACTTAAGCAGTATTTCTTATGGTTACATATAAAGAGGAGCAAAGAAGGAAAGTTTGCAGAAGTATTTTAAAATTAGCTAGCAGAAGTCTTTCAAAATTACCTTTGTCTACCTAAATTATATAAAATCTGTGCTTTATCAGTAACCCACATTATTTCTACAAGAGCTATTAGAACTGTTGTGATTTTCTGAAACTAAAAAAATGCTCACAGTTCCTGAAATTACTATCTTGAGTGTTTACTACAAAGTGTTTATAGGTGTTCAGCTTGTTCTAAGACCTGATGGTTGGTTTTGTATGAGAGAATGGAGCAGCTTTGTCTTAAAAAAAGAATTGGAACCAACACTTAGGTTCTGAATTTCAACTGCAACGGATTTCATAATTATTTTTAAAATTCCCTGAAGGCACTGGGTGTTTTTACATGGGTACTGTAGATGTAGGAAGTACTGCTCTACCTTTAATCACGCAACTAGTTTTTAGTTCCACAGGGATCAAAGGTTTGCAGCAATATGTAATATATAAAGCACTTGGTTGTTACGTAGTTCTCTTATCTGTTGAGAGCTGTGCGTTTCACACACACTCAGAATTGCCGAAAGGGCAAAAGTAGCATCGTTCTGAGGCGGGACAGAGCGAGACGTGGGGAGCGTCGCATCCCGCAGGCTGCGCTGCAGGGAGCAACGGTGTCAACAGAGAACCTGGCCGCCCCAATTAGGCTACTGCTTCCCAACGCCTGTGTTTTCCATGACCACTACTCAATAAAAGCATTTAAAATAGCATTGCATTGATGCAACATATTTATGAACAAAGGAGAATTTGATAAACAGACAGTTGTCTCATTGTGTATGAAGTTCCTGTTCTAATTTCTGCAAGTGGCTACCACTGGTAATTATTCTTTAAACAATTTTCCACAGAAAGAAAACAAGCAGCTTTGAAATTTTACTTTAACTCACATTAAGAAAATATTATCTGGCCTCCTCCATGGTTTTGCTGAATGTCACAATAGTTTGAGAAACAAGATGGTACAATTAAATTAGGCTGCCTTGGGTGAAGGTATTTATGTATTCCTTTTAACAGAGTGAGGGTAAAATTCAGTACAAAATGAATCATGGAAAGAGATTGCACCATGCTGTAAGAAGCAGTATGAAAAAAATAAATGGCTGCTGTGAATAAAATGAATCTCATTTCCCTGTTGTGAGCATCTTTCATAGTTACTTGAAGAATGGAGTTTTCAGGGATTTTTTCTCCATATTAAAATGTTCCTAGGACTTCTCTACATCTTGTATAAAACAGCTGCACAGGACTGCATGAAAGCACACTTTTTATTAGCTTTTATTAGAAGCACATGGCTATTTGTGTACTTCATTAAGATTCATGTTTCTATTCTGCAAGATCGGAACAGGGAGCAAAATTCACCTGTCACAACTGCCTTCATCTCAGTTCCCAAAAGAAAAGCATTTCATTGAAGCTTATGGTTTACCAAGGCTGCAAAAGCCAGTGAATTTTCTTGTTTTGTCTTGATGTACCATGTAGAAAAGTCATGCTAATTTTGATTAATTGCCACTTGAGGTTTGTGCTGTTTTGTTAAACAGTAAAGAAATGCACAATTATGATTTAATTCTTGCAGAAAGAGATCATGAGAGAATCCTTCTTCTTCCTCACATTATACAAAGCAGGAAATCCTGATCTGCCTAATGACAGTGTACGGTAATGACTGTGATAAACACGTGCATCAAATGGTAATGACTTCATTTTCTGCCCGTGGCGGGATCAGTGCTGGGCCGCAGGGGCAGGCAGGCTCTCCTTGTGCTCGTGTAGCCAACGCACTGAATCCGTTCTGCCATTTTTTGCATCTTTCCTGTAACTAACCTTGCCTACAGGACGTCAGTCTAGTGGATTTGCATCTGCCTGGCAAAAATGAGTAGACAGTTTGGCTACTCTAAAGCTCTTACACTGTGAATCCACCGGAGAAACAACAGTGCAGAGAAATGAAACCGTCTGCATGAAGTCATGCACTAGTGACGGAATAAACTACAGGACTCTCCTTTTCCGAGTTATGGACCATTAACCTAAGGACCATCCCCAGGAGAAAGGAACGTCAGTATTTTGTGGAGTAAGAGCTAAAAACAAGTAGCAAAGCGCAACCATTTACCTGAAATGCACAAGGCGTGTTATCCATACAATACACTCTCAGATTGTAATCCAGAGAATTGCAAGACATGCATCCAAAAACGGCTACTTTCAGCTGTCGGACGGCACAGTCAGAGATGGGCTCTCCAATAAGAGCATAAGTTCCAAAGCTGTTTAAGAGAATGTGACAGGCATAAGGATCCAACAGGCAGTAGCAGGAAGTAGTTTCCTCTTCCACAGACATCACTTCCTGCAAAATGAAACTTAGGTTAAAAAAATAACCATAGATACTTAGAGAGTAGGAGTCATGACATTATTTTTATTTATTTTTTCATTCAAGTGGAATATAAAGTACATGTGAGTGCCAGTCGGCACCGTCTTTGCTTGTGCTGACCTTGGGGAAGGGGGATGTCCTATCTGGGCAAATATTCTCTGGTTCACCCCAAGACAGCAACAGAGTTTATGACAATATATTGCACAGAATTCAATGTGTGCAGCATATAATAATAACAATGAAGATCTGCAAGTATTCTTGACTTTCTAGGCATTTTTTTCCCCACTATCAAGTAAGGGAATTACTTGAAGATTCAAGGCAGTAAGAAAGCCTTGCCCAACAGTAGGCACTTGACATGCTCTCACAACAACCGTTACAGTTAGGTTTACCCTCATCAAAAGAACACCTACCCCACTGTTTTGTCTTTCATGCTCAGTTCTGCATTATAACATCATTAGATGAAGTATATGAGCAGTCTGCAGTCTGGTGTTACACTCCTCCTCATTAGTCCCAGGGTGTCTGTAAGCAACACTGATGGAGCTGACTATTGAGGGCATCTAAGGTAGGAGAACTAAGCTGAATTTGAAATGGGTTAAAGGAGGGTGACAAACAACATAGCGGCTTAGAGCAGGAAAAGGAGAGAGTTACGATAACCTGGAATGTCTTAACTGTGTTTCCTCACACTGCAATGCAGCTTCGGTGGTTTTAATAATGTACAATGAATGTGGTTTTTTTTTTTTTTCTCATGTTGGTAAATTTAAAACCTCTCTGTTGACTAAAGGCTCGGTTCATGCACTGGCCCTCTCCTCAGGAGTGCTAAGTGTATTAGTAGGATCTCTCCCCCAAAGATGCAAGAAGTTGGACACGTTTGAGGCTGCTGCCTGTGCCAAATTTGGCCAGTGGGCTTAAAACACATGGCGGAGGGCAAGGTGAACAGACACATCACGCAAGGGGGTCCTGGCTGCATTATTGATGCGAGCTGATCAAAGGGTACCTTTGCATGTAACAGGGGCTAGGTCATTAAAAACTGTTTTTGCACACTTCAGTAGAGCGCTTCAGGCTAGTTTTAACTGCTTGACAAAGCAGAGTTTTTTCTCTTTTGCTTTCTTAAGGAAAAAAGAGCACTTCTGGTTCTATCCCTTGCATCATCTTTGACCAGCTCCTGCGTGAATGAAGATAACGGTGCTTCCATGGTTAGTACAGCCCTCTGAGTGGGAGCAGAAATGCAAACTTACCTCCCATTTTCCCTGTTGGGTCTTTTTCTTCAAGTGAATATTCCAGTGCTCTGAATTCAGCTCTGCGCAGTGTGGAATAGTCAAGGCAAACGGGGTGCTCACAGACACATCCGAGGGACCACAACTTACTTCTGGGCCTAGAAGAACATCTGGGCCATCTGGCTGTAGGCTTTGTTTGAAAAGAAGGTAAAAATCTTTCAGGTTTTGCCTTAATATGGATCACTAATGTACTTGCACTACCTTCATTACACAGTGAAGAAACTCGTCAAAGAAACTCGTCATTTCGTTCATCTGCTGCCGAAAACACATGCAACCCAGCCTGTGTGCTAATACGGAAACTGGCTGGAGATGAAACAGGCCTATTAGGCTACATTTACTCAAATCCTTGGCTGTTCAGTTCAGGCTTTTGATCTTTTAAATCAGGACTGCAAATACCTGCATCTATCTGACATCACACAGGAGGAGCACTCTCAGTATAACTAGAATTACGTGCTCTAAAAATGGAATGAAAAGCACCATTTCTCCCAAAGATTTGAGAAGTTCTAATGACTTCAGTGACATAACTCACACAAACAACTAAACACACATACAAGCATCTTTGAGATGAAGATCAGAGTGGAAAAAAAAAAAACAGACTCAACGTAACTGACAAAACAGGCCAGTTCTGCCTCTTCTTTTTCAAGTGTCAGAACAGTAACTCTTCCCAAGTCTTACTGCTCATAAGCATTTATAGGACTTTTAGGTTTAAATAAAAATCAAACGCACAGTTTCCTACAGCTGCCACTTCCCTCTTTGAACAGGAGCATGAAAACCTAAGAGGGAGAGGGAAGAGAGAGGCGCCGTGTTCCTGATGAGCCAGCCCTGCAGGAAGCTCCAAGCCCAGCACCCGGAGACACGCAGGGGATTGTGATTCATGGGCATAACAAAGTCCTTTGGTTTGCATCGTTTGCTTGAAATACTCGTTCTGACAGCAGTTCAGTGAAACACCCAATTTTTCACAAATTGCTCTCTGCTAAGAAACACTCTTTTTGCACAAAATAACATCGCTTAACAGCAGCCAACCTTTTGCAAATTGGAATTTCCTTAAAAACAAAACCTTCCACTTTTCCTAAATCCTTTTTCTTCCCAGCTAATTTAAGAAACCATCCTGAGTTTCCTACAAAGAATAAGAAAAATATCTGAGAATAGTCGCAAGATAAACATATCTAATCCTCCCAAATCCATCAAAATCCAAGATTTCCAAGCGCCTGTAAGACTTGCAGTAAATGAAAAACAAAGGATCGCTATAGTTGATCAAAAACTTTTTCTAAAAATAATGCTTCTTCTAAATAGAAGCTTCTTTCTAGAAGCAGTAAGCATTTCATCTCACAACACTGAGGTCACGCTGTCGGCAGCCGCGCTGCCCCTGCACCAGCTTTAGCTCCCTGCAGCCCCCGAGTAGCTTGTGAGACGGAGCTCGAGGTGCCCTGGGCAAGGAGCAGAGCGGCCTCTTCCAGAGCAGCCACGCTCAGCCCTTCTGCATAAAGTGTGAGGACAAAATCAAGCACAGAGGCTAGAGGGTGTCTGTTACACACTAATTCTCCCTTGGGCCAGAATCAACAACTCTGCTGCTCCTTTCACAGGCATCTGCAGCCTGTGCTTCTTGCCAGCATGCAGCACGTGTGGGACCTGGCTGTTTTCCTCCGTCAGGAGTCCCTCCCTGCTCCTTTAGGGCGTCTGGACTGCCAGGAGCGTCGCAGAGCACACCACCATGGTCACACCAGCAACACTGAACAGCGACTGACTTGCGTATTATATTCCATTCACTGAACAGCAGCAAGGACAAGAAATCAATGGAATGAGGCAGTTGCACAGATTTGGGATGGTATTATCGTGTGAGTTTTATGTGCTCTTTACCTGGATTCCCTTTGAGTGATGGCAAGATAGATCTCCCATGAACTCTCCTCAGGAATAGCTCCATGGGGTATCAACAAACTGACTCCTACAAGAGAGCAAAGGCAGAATTTATCTTCCAGAAAAACACTGGAGATAAAGAAAAATCTCACAATCGACCTCTGATTTACAGCACCTCGAAGGGCTGCCCAGAAGAGAAGAGTGCTCCTCTGAAGTAGTGGTTCCAAAAAATAAACATTAATACAATTCACATAGTTATTAATATTTCACTGTCCTCTAAAGATACAGATCAAAACAAGGTCCTTCTGCAGCCAGACACTGTAAACTCAGATGACTAAGAACTTCTTGCACCAACAAAGTTTTTAAAAAATGGACTCCTACAGCTCTGTGCCCCTGAATGCCACTGGATTCCTGGTCTAGATATGACTGAAGGTCTCTCTTCCCTTGATATGGGCAAACGCTTCATCTAATTCACCCCTTTGACAAAGGGAATAATTTTGGGAAACAAGAGTGACCTTCAGTCTTTAGCTCTTTCAGCGAGGCTGCCAGCAAGAACGGTTTATAAACACAGTTGTTTGGATTGTCTCAACCCATATAATAGAAGTACTTGGTTGCCTAAAACAACCAGCTCATTTCATCCACTGCTGAGCTAAACCTGCACGCAGCCCCGGCCGCACAGGACTGAGAAAGTCTCTGTTCTGTCAAGAGTCCTCAGAGCCATCCTGTCCCTGTGGGGAATATTCTGTGGCACTGATGTTTGGACCTGCAAGTGATTTTTCGGCAGTGCTCAATAAGTTTCAAGGATAAATACTCTTCTGTGGAACTCTGGGTGGCCTTTAGCAAGGTGGGCGCGGTGGGGGCCGAGGCGCAGGCACCCGTCCCCGCGGCTCGCTCCGCGCTCCCGCTCCTCCGCGGCCAGCGCTTTGAAGTCCAGCTTTCACATCAGCTAGCGGATAAGAGACCACAGAGTATGGCTCTGCTCTTTCATGTAGCTTTTTGTTTATGATAAAAACCAAACTGAGTATATTGGGAACGGGGAAAAGCTCTTTACCCTCTTTCATTAGAAGCAGCAGTGCTGGAGTACAGAAACATTCAATTAGCTATTTATAATTTTAGTGGAAAAAAGGCTTCCTTTAATGCCCCTGCTGCGGCAGCCTGGGCAGCACGTTTTTCTCTCCAGCTACGCTGCAGCTTTACGAGCCGAGACTCCGCTCAAACTCAGACTGCACTGCAAATCCGTGACCGTTCGCAGCAGCAACGCGGGCAAGTGTCAGTCCCTCCCATTTGTGCCCACAGCGAGGCTCGTGTTCTCATCAACTACAGTCTCACTGTGAATGTTAGAGGGACTCAGGCTGTTACACGTGTTTGCAGCCTTCGTTCTAGAAATCCCTTACGTTCTTCTCCTTCCATTACTATCGCAGACAAACGTTTTCATATTGAAAGCAGGAATGCAGGCAACCATTTGCCATCATATGACCAGGAAAGAGGCCAGTTCTCCCATGCTTTTGATAAATGCTGGCACTTTAGCTGGATTTTTTTCAGATCTTCAAGCCTAAAACCCAGGTAGACACTATCATGGCTTTCAAATAACCCCTTGAATACTTGGAATATGTCACACTTGCAGAAGCCGAGCTAAGCAGTACCGTGATGGAAGCTAAGTTACAACTGACTAGAAAATTTCATATTACATTAATGGAGAAAAATAAAAAATATATAAACTGCATGCAGGCTGAATAAGCATTTAAATCATCTGATAGATGGGGCTGGCATTATTTAAAGTAGCTAAATATACAGTATGAGAAGCTTCTTCGTTTATGACCATTACAGTGACTTAGTGCATCTGCCTCTGCAGTGCTCAATCCCGAACAAAAAATCCTGTGAAGAAATGAATGCATTCTATATATTATGCATGATTGTCCACTAAATATTTTAGCTCTTGGTTATATACTGTTATCAATCTTCTTTAAATGCAGACTTTATTTTTTTTTTTTTATGATTTTAAAAGCCTGATTTTATGGTACATGAGGGATAAGGCTGTGCAGTAGCTTGCAAGCATTCACTGCAGCCGGACAGTACGAAACAAGCTTGGAAAGACTAACAAACTGCTTTGGAGTTGAGTTTAAAGAGACTTGGGATGAGAGCACACAGAAGTCCAGCAGAGCCCCTGTCACTGGCAGCAGCAGCATTGGGCTAGTTCTCTTTGGCATTTTGAACAAGAAAACATTCAACATGAGGGATTTGCCTCAGTGCGACACAAGGAAGGGAGGGAGGGAGGATCAAGGATCTACCCACCTGTGTTCGGAATCACTAAACGGCCACCCAGGTGTCCAAAAACGGCAGCTGTTTTCAGCTCACTTTTTGCTGAAATAGGAGAAAGGTTCTGGATGTAGGTAGCCTTGTTCCTGGCGTGTATCGTGCCAAAGCCCCTGGTATTCCCATGAGGAAAAGTTCCAGAATGAGCTTTGCTGTGATATTCAGCCCTCTCGGTCACCCCTAGGGAAACCATGAATGAACTCTGCACTTTGACTTTGATGTCGGACAGCGGGTTAAACAGTGAAGACTCTGTCATCAGCTCCTTGTCCATGGGGTCCTGCAGGCAGATGGGTCCGCTGTACGTTCTGCTCACTGTCAAGTCCGGCTGCATGGACGAGTTCAAAAGCAGGGAGTTACCTGATGAATGAAGGGGAGCAGGGAGTTGGTTACTTTTTCTCATTACATTATATACAGCATCTGTGTAGCAGGCAAATGGAGAAATGGTATGGGCAGGGGATGCAGCATCCATTTTATGGAGACTCCAGAGGGCAGAGAAGCAGGAATTAGCAATCCTGGTTTCCTGGTGATGCGTGTTCTAGTTTACAATCTTTAAATGCATAAACTCTATGTTCTGAAGTCTCACAAGCTACAGCTGCACTTAGAATGAAAAAAGCAACATGCACATGAGCTTCAGCATGACCCATGACTCATGTCCTAGACGTGTCTCATGATTACTGCATTTTATAAAAATGACAATTTGGGGGTAACTGTTAGTCAATTATATGATGGCATGTCTGCCTTTCTCTGCGTCCCATCTGTCCAGACTCTGCTGCAGCCTCTACTGCGGTCCTAAACATGTACAAGCTACTTCCTTCTTAGCGAGATCTGGAACTTGAATCACACTCTGTCTGCAAATAAAAAAAAAACTGTGTGGGAAAAAACGATTAGATGCGTATTTAATTGTCAGTTTTAGGAAAAACATTACATGTATATGTAACTCCTGTGCAGCACCCAACTGCACTTCGATTTTCCCATCTATAAACAGGAGCTAGACAGGCTATGCTCAGATGTGCTGCATCTAACACTAATGTGCTCAATGTAGTCAGGACATACTGAGTCATGTAATAAACCATTCAGTTGATGGAGAGTCTCCATATTCTCTCACTTCATGTCAGTCAGCTGCAGAGCTCCTCCCGCACTTCTGTCCTGCACTTCCTCTACTCCTGTGCTGTTCAGACTGTATAAAAGCTTAAGTTTAAACACAGTCACGCACAGAGACCGGCACTGTTGCCGGCCTGCGTTTTGAAAACACTCCGACTCTGTGATGGAAAGTGCCAGCCTTGTTACCTGGATAATTCCTAGTGAAATCTGCAGGAATTCTGCACTCTAGCACTGCCTTTCTGACCTCTGCACCGTTTCATGTTTGACTTGCTCTTCCTTCCTGATACTCTCAGAACACAGAATCACACAGGGCGATGTTCAGAAGCAGATGAAACGATGCAGCAGATCTAAAGGACACTTGATCACTGTTTTCTACACTGCAGGCAGTTCCAAGGAACATGAATCCAGAAAGGAACTTCAGTTTTGGAGGTTTTCTTCTGTGTATGCTTTTTTTTTTTTTCCCCTTCCTTCCTTTCTTCCATTTTTTTTTTTAATTAAAACCCACATCTTCCTGCGGACTTTGTCAGAGCTCATGCAACAGGACAGGCTTTATGCCTGAGAGAAACTGGGTTGGAGAGAAACTGGGACAATAGCAATGCAGGGAAGAACACCAGAGTTTTACTTCCAGGAACATTTTAGCTCAGGAAACACTGAAAAAAAAAAAAAGAGGAGGAGGAAAGGATCCTTTTAGGGCCTGCTGTCTTCAGATCCCTTGTGTGGGAGCTGAAGCTCCATCGTGTCTTAGCCAACTGAACAGGTAACTGGTCTCTTCATGGCCGCTGAATGTTTTAGTTAACAAAAACTCATATTGAAAAACCCCAAAGTAGCTAAAACTGAAGTAACCTCCTGGCATAAGAGGAACTGCCTGTCTTGGCATTAAATCAAAGAAGAAATTTCCCAGCCTCCAAATGAGATTTTCATGGCAAGTGAAACTATTTGAGCCAGGCACTGAGAATTATGTGACACTAATTTAAGGCTTAGCTATTTAACCGAATGAGTAAACATGCTTCAAACTTTCTAGTCTTATGCTTCATGAGGAATGTCTTTCAGAAAATAATCCTAAAAACAAAAACTCTGCAACACATTTAATTCCCATAAAGAGAGAAGAATCCTGGAGATATTTTCCTATCCCTCAGTACACCACTCATCTCCAGCAAGGCAGGCAGCTGCGTTGGAATGCCACTACCAAAATATACTCTTTCATATACGCGTTCTCTTTTGCAACTTTTTGCTTCTAAGAAGTATTATTTCAGAAAACACCTAGGTATTACTTTTAGTAAAAGGCTTTATTTTTTACCATATTTTATTATATCAGGGATCTTATAAAGCCTTAAAAAAACAGAGAGAATCAGTAGGGGTTTACACATATTTATCTCATTCTCTTCCAGAGACCTTGGAATATGAACGTTTCACATGCAAAGAACAGCTTATAAAATACAAAGGTAGACTGATCAAACTAACAATACAATGATAATCCCTTTAAGGAAGGAACCAGATGTGTAACCGAGCAGGAAGGCTCTACAGAGGGATGCCTGCCGTATTTTTTTTGTTTGTTAAGTCACAAGCGCCACGTCAGTATTTCTGTAGTGCTAACAAGGAGGACGTGCAGCCAGCAAAGGTGCTTTATGATTCCTGTGAGAAAGCAGCAGCACACAGGGAAAGACACTGCAGCTCCGAGAGCCCCGCTCGTGCTCCCTGCGCTGGAGCTGCTCTCCCCTGGCTCTGGCCCAGCCTGCTGAGCGTTAAGCTGGGATATCCCCCAGCCGCCAGTCAGTGCATATGAGCTTAGTATCTCTGTGCAGTAGGAGTTCGGGAGAAAAGAAAATGAAATCACAACACTAACCTTGTCTGACTGTTTTAAAATTAAATGTCTGGAAGCCTCCTGTCAGTGCAGACGAATCAATCACATCCACGCCGTACTCACTCTGACTCCGTCTGTACAGGGTCACTGCCACCACCAGCACGGCCACAGCGATGACCGCCGCTCCCAGCCCCGAGTACAAGGCAATGTCGCTGGCGTTCTCCATGTCTGCAAGCAGAGAGAGCAGGGGATGAGGGCTGTGAGCAGAGGGATGGCGTGAGGCCACGGGCCTGTGGCCAGGGGTGTGGAGCCATCATGACAGGAGCGCGGTGCACCAACACACCCAGAAAAGCAAGCGCAGGGAAGCATGAGAAAACCCTCCGGAGGCCCCACTCCGACGGCGGGAGGCCACACTGTGTGCATCACGGTATTAGCCATCTTTTAAGAATGGGCTGGTTTGAATTGCAGCCATCAAAGCAGGGCCAGAAATAGAGCTGAGGACTCAGCCTCCTCGCTCAGGAGCACGCGAGCCGGGCCGGCTCCTCACTGCGCATCGATCAGCTCCCCTCCAGCCCAGTGGAGATCCTTAAGAGATGGCAATGCAGCCCTGAAATGAGGGAATGTGGCAGTGCAGCCACAGATGCTGTTACACAAATCAGCATGATTCTCATCTACCGCAGGCTTCCAGGGAAAGTTCTAGGTTTGAGCTCTGGAGCTAATGCAGGAGGTCATGAATCCCCTGAAAAAGAGGAGTTCTGCATCAGTCTTAGGGAAGGTTTCCCCCACTCCCCTCTCCACTCCCTATTCCCTGCATGAGCCTTATTACGAGGAGCAGCAGCCCTTCCTTGTGAAGCCAGAGAGGGGCTGAAGAAATCCCACACCTCACCTTGGATTCCTGCAAGGTCCTCAGCCTTCCAATTGGGAACTGGACCTTTGAGTCATCAAACCCATGTACTAAACGTACAACCAAGTTTTCTAAGATTTTAGTCTTGTAGAGGAATGTGTTTCTTTAAAAGAATGAATCCAAGTGAATCCCGCTGTATTATGTAATTTAATTACCCAGTTTCACTTTTCTACATCTTTTGGGATTTGGGACCACGTACCGTGAAATTAAATTACTCAGCAAGTATCCTTAGTGGGTCCTTGGATAGATCCCTTAAAGCCAAGCTCCAGTTTAGAGAAGAGATAATCACGTATTCGCAGGGTGCATCATCTGCCTTCCCACTATGCGGCACTGCTGCTGTCAAGCGGGAAGCACCAAGTAACTGCTTGCAACTGCTTCCACAAACAGTGGGATTCAAAACATACCATATATTCTTTGCTGAATTTCCTTAACTTTAGTAAGGTGTTAACTGCTCAGTTTCAAAGGAATCCTGGAAGAGTTCTTCACGTGTGAACACGCCTGTTCACACATATAAAATACTTAGAATTCAGGGAAAATACAAATTTTGAAAGCCATCAGAATTTAGAAGAATTTTAAACTGACATGATAGTCCCTACTGATCCTAAGGAACAGACCTGCTAAAGAAAGGTGACCTCCATTTCTATTTAGGACACTGCTGTTACTTCTTTGGAAACATCCTGTATTTTTGAAGTAACTTTAATCTCCTTTCCATCTTTGTGCAGAGAGTTCCTCTCCTTTGGGGACCAGAAGTTGGCAACGTAGCAGGAGGGGTAATTTTTATGTTTTTACTTTTTCTCAGAAGGGAACAAAGTGAAAAACAAACATAAAAGGAAAACATTTACAGTCAAACAATTACTATTTAATGAGTTGCATCCTCCCAACCCAGAAGAGGGATGACTCTCATAAAGCACCAAAGTTTTTTTCCTCCACATTTCAGTTACAGGGTACATGTTTGTCGTAATTGTAGCCTATATTTCACTCCACCTCCTGACACTGTTACACAACATTTATTGAAAGCACATTTGATGGTAATGAAGTTTCTATTAACTATGATTAAGTTTCATAAAGCACCTGAAGATAATTTAAGATGTTCAGGAGCAGAAAATGAAACATTTGGTTTAGTACATTAGGAAACATAATTGATTAAATTATCTCATTTGCAATAAGTGCTTTCCAGGAGCTACACGGGGCATACGTTTCCCCCAGTTTCCCATCAATTTGCTGCGCGATAGGGAAGATTTTTCCTGCTTGTCCTCTACCCAACTCCCAGGGCCCTCTCAGTAAACCCTCGAGTCCAGCTCTTCACGTGGCCATTCCCGCCGGGCACGTCCCAGCAGCGGGAACGTGAGTCCTTGTGGATCTGACACGCGACCCAAAGCCAGAGAGTCACCATGAGGCTATTTAGTAGAACAGGTTGTTTCTCAATTACCTCCATAATTGACTTGATTTTGCATCCGTGATGATTCACATAGTCTTAAACTAAGCTCCTGTTCACGGTACTGAGCAGCAACAAGCTGTATTATACATTTCTAACTTCACAGTTTAAAGAAACTCTTTAATTTTCCTAGGAACCTTGCATGTTAAGATCAATTGCAGCAAAATTTCTTTTTTTAAGGCAAGAGAAATTACAGCAAGTTGACTGATGTTCAAGGTGCTGGGATTATTAGTTATGTTTCTGATCAGTGATGTCTTCTGCAGATAATACAGACCCCAGCTTGAGTCCTTTCCAACTCCTGCTTTATCAGACAGCAGAATCCTGTGGCATCTCACAGCCAGGCAGGCGGCCTTCAACCTCCCAAGAAAATCATCTGCTGTTCTCACACCGCTGCCTGCTGCACATGTGCCCTAAACAAACACAGCTGAGGCAAGGTTAGGCTTTCTAAAGATTTTCTAAGAATTTAAGCGCCCAAGTTTCATAAAATTTCAAATAACCGGAGCACCCTGTGCCCTTATACCCTAGAGGAACTCTCAGACTTTAAGGGAAATAGCTTTTAATAAATAATAGAGAACCTGCCTTCAAAGAAGATGAAAGCAACTGCATCCATTATGTCTCACAAAAGAGGCAGATTCTTGTCCTAACTCCTTCAAAGGAGTTTTGCTAAAAATATGTTTATTAGTCAAAATTCAAAGAAAATAATATTGAAAACAAAGCAGTCAAAAGTCCTCACAGCTTTGTGCAGGGCTTAATGAAGGAAAAAGCAATGTCTCAGCTTTAGAACAGACAGGTCTCACGGAAACTGTGGTTTTGCTGGAAGGTGAAGTGTGCCAAGTCTTTCACGTCTGTTTCTCTAAGTGTAAAATTAGTCAATTTACTCCAGATGTTTTAGATAAAACTAAAATTCCCCTGAAATCAATGGAAGGCTGAGAAATAACAAGATGGCATGATAGAAGCCCCCTAAAGGAGAATATAAACGTTACACAGGGTAGAGCACATTAGCCCTCTTTGCCAGGCAATTAGCGAAGTCTGCAGCAAACTGACCAGGCCCAGACACAGAGCCAGGGCGGAACCAGATTTCAAGCAAGGCAGCCAAATTCCTACATCCTTCTTTTTCATTATTTTTTTTTTATCCCAAGGCCTTAGCAATACTCAAGACGAGTATTCCAGCAGAACGAGCTCCCAGGCAGATGCAGTTTATGAAGAATGATCACTTTCTTACTTTCAGACTAAAACCGAAGATCCCAAAGTCACTAAGTAGATGCTGTCAGTATATTCGAAAATCTTTCATATAACCTTCAGTTTTATTTAGCTTATAAACAAATAAAGTAGAATTACAGAAAAGATGAGAAAAGATCATGTTTACAAGAGAAAAAAATAACTTACTTTGGGATTTTATTTCATGAAGAGGTTTTTTATCTAAAAAAAGAAGGGAGGGAGAGAAAATTGCACTTAATAAATTTACATGGAGCATATCTATTTCCTATATTGCTCCTGTCTAGTGCTACAAATGAAACATTTTCTCCTGGTTTGCTGACAATATGAATATTTTATGCTGTCCATATTTTTCTCTTCCTTTTTGTTAATCTCTTTCTGGATGTTCCTTTACTGTCATTTCTCACTGGGTTAGTTCAAGTATCTGTTAACTTTCTTTGCTGCTTTCATTTATAATACATATCTCGGCAATAAGAAAGTTCAATACTTTGAAGTGTGTCACTTTGCAAACGAAGTTAAGGATGAATTAATTCTCTGTATGTTTGAAACAAGGGAGTGAGAGACACTTATTTATCAACTACCCGTATGTATAATATGGAAACATTTACTTATCTAATTATACACAAATGACATCTATGTATATATAAGAACCTAATAAATACTCTATTCATACATATACAAATATATGAAAATATTAAATACAGGTTTTATACATGAGTGTACATCTTAAAAATGAGCTTTTCTCTCTCTCCCTCCTGCTAAGCACCGGAGTTACCTTTTCAGCTTTTACCAGATAAAGAAATCAGGAGGTGATGGGACCCCACCTCGTTCAGTGCCCACGGCAGCGACCCCTCTCCGGGGCATGCCGGGCTCTCCGTGTTTCCAAGCTTGCTGCTTATAAATTCCTCATGTGCAGGAGCAACTGCCAGCAGCGCCTCCGGGTTCCGCGCGCTACAAACCCGCAGCTCCAGCATCAGTCCTGCCAGCCCCACCTGCTTGGGCACGCTGTCCAGCTCAAGCAACTGTTCAAAGAGGCTGCTCGAAGAAAAACCAAACAAAACTCCGCGACATACAACTAACCTGGGCCAATTACAGTTACAAAATCATGTCTTGGGGCACATCTTTTTGTTTGGTTGGATTTTTAAGCTTTATTTTAGGACAAGGTTATTAAGACAACCATTTCCTTCTCTCCTGCCACCATCTGAGACCAAGTGCCATGCTCATTGCAGCTGAGCTCCTAGCCGTGTTCTGGTGACCTGCACACAAACTTCCCACTAAAGCTGCAGACCACAGATTTAGATGCTGAACTTGGAGTGCAGCACTGGTGGTGTGCGCTGGCATTAAAAGTTCTCATCAAGAGAAAGGAGAGCCACCTACCTAAAAAGCACATTTTCAGTTAAGGCACAAAACACTGGGTGTATATTCCTAAGTGTGCACAGTTCATGTCTGAAAATTTTACAAGGATTTTTTTAAATTTTATTTCTTATTAGGAAAACCAGCCTTATTCTAACTGCATTTTCAATCAGTGTTCTTAAGCTTGAGATGAGGGTTCCCTCATCTCAATAAAATAAAATACTGTTCTAGCAGCATGTTGGCAGACACAACTCCAAACTCCCAGTTCCTTTTCCCTTCTCTGCAGCAATGTGGATAGAGGGATTTGAGCAGTCCAGTATCTGCAATCCTGGCTCGTAGGAAAAGGTTCAGAGGGCTTTACCCGAGTACAGTTCCTGAGAATTCACTCCTAGAATCACAATTAAGCATCAAACGCAGCGCTCATGACACAGCTGTCTGGCACAGCACTCCCCTTGTGCACTGCTGGGACACCCGAGACAGACTGACAGCAGCGGCACAGTGACAACACACCGGAGGACAGGCAGTGACAGGGGCATCTTCCAACCTGCCTATTAAAAGAGCCTAGAGGAAGCCCTCGGAACAGAGCCCTCGGAAGGAGGTCAGCAGAGAGCTGGAAGGCACCGAGAAGGCCTGAGAGCTGCAGCACTTGCTCTCGACGAGCAGCGCGCAGAGCTCCCACTTCTACGGGGTCCAGCTGTGCTACAGGCACCCGGGGAGTTCGCAGATTGCCCCCATGGAATGAAGCTATTGCCAGCAAGTGAAATTAGTTTCTCCAAAATGTCTATCATCAATCTCAATGCTTAATAAAAACAGCTTTTCACCAGGCCACAAGCTGCTTTCAGATTACCAAGATAAACCTGGGAATCTTTGTTCTTCTACTCTAAACTGTCAGCACAGCTGGAAGGTGACACACAGGGCTGACATTATCTACTCAGTCAAAGACGTCCCTGGAGTAGGACAGGGAGTCTCTACCACCTTGCAATGCCATAAGGTCTCTTCTTGGAAGCAGTGACCTGAACAGGGCCACCGTTTATTAACTCTGATGAAACTCATGGCTGTCACCAACACTGATGAGCACAGAGATCTCAGCTGCCTCTTTTCATGCCCCTTTCAACACATCTTTTCCAATGGAAATGCTAATCTGCACCCATGAAAGGACTAAGCCATTCTACAAGCCATCTGCAGAGAAGGGTATTCATTTAATGTATAAGAAGGAGAAAGACCTCAGAAAGCATCTTACTATCGCTGTGTTGGTCCTCAAAGGCTGAATGAATTGCAGTGTTCACAAATTTTCACTAGTTATTTCTTTTTAAAACACAGAAAAGGAAAAAAAGCTGAAATTTGTTCATGTCCTCTGCATGATAAAGCTTGACTGGGTAACGCCTTGGAGCTGGAGAGCTGTTCTGTAATCCTGGAAACTTGAAGGAGTTGGGATATGCAGCAAAACTGAAGATGATCCCTCCCTCAAAAACCAAATAAAATCTTATTTTTCAAGTCTCAGCTGAGATATGCATATTTATGAAGCTTATATAATTATACAGGATGCTAGCTGCCATTAAGGAAATTATTATAATCTTTGGACAAAAAAGGGAGTTCATTTTGTTTAGACAATAATTTTCCTCTTTTCACCGGACGTATTTCATGCAATCACCTGGTAATGAAGAAGCAAAGTAGGTGCTAGATAATTTTGGTGACACAGAAACCACTGCAGATTTCAGACTGCACAAACGCAACTCCTTAAAACCATAATCTTGTTTTTTTGTAGTAACATTGCAACCAGAGGAGTTCTGCTGACATGGATGTGAGGCACTCCCGACACTGTATCTCCAGCTCTAGGTGCTACCTGCCCTTCTCTTCAGTGCAAACCATTACCCACCTTGAATGCAAAGCCCCTCGGTGCAGTTCTCCGACTCCTGACTCAGGCCCTCGCAGTCTTTTCCTCCGTTCCTTGGCGGGGGAGCAATGCACTCCCGAACTCTCAGGTGTTCACACTCCGGGCTGCACACGGACCATTCGCTCCACACCTCCCAGTTTCCATCCACTGCACGGGGAGGGGAAAAAAATCCTTGCTGCAAGTCAAACTGCTTAGCTTAGGGATCCGAGTAGAACATACAGTGCAAGTCACAAGGAAGCAGAGTTCAGACTTTCAAACTGAAGTGTCTTCCTTCCTCCTCTCCCTATCTAAGCAGCCCTTTACATTCTTCTTACATTGAACAAGCTGTTTTGTGATCGAGCATTTAGTTGGCTGCAGTGTCAGTTTAAGGCCTGAGAAACCTGCATGAAAACTGCTGCTCTTAGAGAAAGACCAAAAGGCACAAGGCCCTGCCCTGCAGTGGAAGCAAGCACACAACTATCCCCAAGTTCCAATTTAACCTGAATGGTCTCTAAATATTGTTGTCTACCATGTATACCAGGTAGGGATAGCTCTCAGAGTGACCCGCAAGGTTAATCCTGAAGAAGCCACGAACGTCTCACCAGGGCAAAGCGAAGTGCAGGTGATTTTCTGCACTGACATTCCCTCGCAGAAGGCCCCTCCGTTGAGCGGCGCGGGGTTTGTGCAGGTTCGCGATCGCTTCTGCCAGCCTCGACCACACCGTGCGTTACAGCTGGACCACTCGGTCCACGAAGACCAGCCGCCGTTTACTGCAAAACACACACACGTCCCTGAGGCTGCTGGAGATGCATGAAGAGTTATGCAAGAAATCACTCCAAGGCAGCATTTTGCTTTTCACTCTCTGCAGGTAAATTTGAAGTAGAAGCACTGCCACCCACAAAGCATCAGAACATAAATGCATGAAGGACACGGATTCAAAAAACACAAGCATTTGTTTCAAAAGAGTAATACGAAAAAAGGTGCAATCACTGATGGCAAGACTGAGGAGGAGGTAAAAGCAGGTACCGCAGCTTTTTTAAATAAGCTTTGCTTAAATGCAAATGATCTATTTTTCTAAATCGGGTGAGATAACGGTGGAGATAAAGGAAGGTTCTGCTCCTTCGTCTGCTGCAGTGCAGCTGCCCCTTTGGAAACTGGTGCTTGAAGCCTGCAGTGCCCCACATCCAACCGCAGCCACCCCCAACGCTCCTCCCCAGGCACATGCTTAGGGGCCTCCTGCTAGCAGGCAAGGTGTACTTGGGTGCTTTAGCTTATAATGAATCTTATTAATACCTGGAGCCAGGATGGTTATTGCTGACATAACAACCAACTCATAGTGCTAATCACTGCAAAAAAGGCATTCCTTTAGCCTTCAGCAACAGAACTGAAGCTCTTCTTAGTAGTAACGAACTTCCAGCCTTCGTTACCAATACTAGGCACCCACGCAGTAAGCACATCCATTAAGTTTTTGCATAATTATTGAGTATTTTTCACCGACCATATACCACGACGGTGGCAGAGAGGCTCCTCCTCCTGGCGACGATGTTGGCAGCCATGCAGGTGTAGTTGCCGGAGTCGGAGAGCCGCGCCTGGCGGATGATGAGGTTGTGGTCTGCTCTGGTGTCAATGTTCTCATCCAAATTGGAATCAATGGGCTCCTCGTTCTTGAGCCATTCCACCTGCAGGGAGATGCAGGAGAGAAAATCATGAAATATGTAAAGATGGAAGCAGGAAGTCTGCACAATCATCCAATATTTCAAGCAATTCATTAATAGATTTCATTTTGATTTTTATTACAATCATTAAGATAAAAACAAAGCTAGTTTCCAACAAGGCAGATATGCACAGGCTCAGGAAAGAAAGTATTCCTATCCCAAATGCCCTGGAGCTTATTACAAAGGGGGGGGGGAGGGGGCGCTCCTCATCTAGAGTTGCAAATAACCAGTACTCAAAGGGAGGGGTTGTATTTGTTCTAACGGGGGTAGAGAAGGTAAGGATGAAGGAGACAGGATTAACATTTAATCCTAGGAATCAACAAGCTAAGATAAAAACATCATTTACCCCTGATTCTTTTTACCACAAGTAGTGAAGCAGTAGCAAAGCTTCAACATGAAGTCATTTCCTTAAGTATGTGCATCACTTACTCCACATCACACACAGCGGAAGGGCTACATCTTCAGAACAGGCTCCCAGTTTGAATAAACATTCTTAAACCAGGAAGCCATCAGTACTTGTTGCCAAGGAGCATTAATGCTGTATGTAATATACCCCGACACACGTCCTCTAGTTCACCAAGCGGCCACTCTCTGAGCAGACCCAGCCACTCTCTGCAAGGCATTTCTCTACTTGAAACATTTAAACAAAATACTTAAGGCATGGCAAGCTGCTGTTGTAGAATTGAAAAATTAAAAATAGAAGCAGAAGAAAACAGATCCTATTAAAAGACTGAACAAATGTGACTCATTTTAATAGCTTTTCTAGACCTGAAGGAAGCGTGGTTGTACCCTGAAGACAAATACCTCTCTCATCTCAGTACAGATGAATAACCTCATTTGGGAACTAGGGGAAGAACTTGTAACTTTGAGGTAATGAGCTTATGGATTTGCTAGCTACAGGCATTCATTAGCACACTGCTCCACGCAGATGGTCTGCAATTTGTACATTTTCCAGTTTATAAACAAATCTGCAAATGCTGACCATCAAAGCCAATTAGATTTCATGCCAGACAGCAGGTTCCTCTTCCAGTGGCATCAGTCACTCAGCTTAGCTGGGACAGAAGGTGTGTGACTGTCACATCCCCAGCTCCTCACACCCGTGTCACCGCTCGCTCACTGGGGAACTGGGTTTGGATCTGGGTTTATGGCCCTGTTTTCTTACATGGTGACTCCAGGAGTAAATAAACAGATTGTTCTACAGGTCTGATAAAAGAGGCATCACTCAAGTATGAAACATACAACGCATTTAATACACAAAATAGTCAAAAAAAAAAAAGTAGTCCAATATCCTCGTCTCCCTGATATTGCTAGCCAATAATGATATCCAAGCAAAACAGCCTTACCAAATCCCATAAACTTGAACTCTGTGTAAATATGCCATTTGAATATATCCCTCTGGTTCCATTACACTGCCCTTTAGTTGGGGGAAAGCAAGGAACAGTCAAGTAATTCATCTACTATTCGGTTTCCCTTGTGCAGTTAACTTTAATACTAGTTATAGGAGAAGGCTTCAATAAAGAAACTAGGATTGCAACTTAAATCATGGAACAGCATGAGGGTAAATCAAGTGACAGAAATTCAATGGTCACAGTCAGAATTAACCTCACTTTATGTGCAGTGTAATGACAAACCCAGAAAGTAATATTCAACGAAATGACAAACCTAACTAGTATTCCTGGAGACGCAGTTCATAATTTCACATGTATTTACAGAGAGATTTTGCATTTTGGTCCCCCTCTATTTGGGGTGCTGGGAAAGTGGTGGTTTTCAGTTTTGCTTTTTCTTATTGTGAGGCTCCTTTTTGAAGGTTCTGGTTTCTGCTGCACCAGCACTTTGGGACCTCAGGCTGTTTTTCCTCTAGACAGCTCAGTGTTTTCCAGGAATGAGCACACGGATCCTTTGTTCACTGCGCACAGGTCCGCAAGACGGGGTGGATGAAAAACGTGTGCATTAATGCAAAGCATTTAAAAGAATGATGATCAGTGTGAAGGGAGAACATTAAGCAGACTGCACATAAACGTGAAAGTGTTGAGATGTGCAATCAAAAGAGGATTTATAAATGAAAATGTAAATTTTACTTCATATCTGGAGGCCTGATGACACTGGGAATGCTCATCTCTAATTCCTGCCTCCTGCTTCCTTTAAGGCTGCTTCCAACTCTCTCACCTCACCAGACAGACACTTCCAGAGCACTAAGGGTTGTTAAAGGTTAAACTGATAAATTTAAGGGAGTCTTGATGATACAAGATTACTGTTAGTTGAAGTGACAGAAACTTTCTTTTGAGAAACACAAGCACCCATATTAACCAAAGGAAATTATAGCAACAAAGAACCCAACCATGTCTTCGTGCCAAAATGACATCTGTATCTGCCCTTTCCAACCTGGAATCTCGGAGGAGTGGACTCCAAACTCACTGGCATTAAATCTTCCTTGCTTTACCTTCAGTGGAGCTGGACAACTGCTTCTAACACACCGTTTGAAGATTTTAAAGGTTATCTATCTTGAAGTAAATGTAAAAATGACTGTAATATTCTCCAAGTTTATGTATGGAAAGCCAAGAGTTTTTCCCAAAGATTAAACTCGCTCAGAATTAAAACGTTCCCATCAACTTCTCACGCAGGCCAATCACACAGCGATCGGGGCAGGCACGCAGGGGCAGGTGCGGATTCGCTCGGCCGCAATGCAGCGGGTGGCAGGAGCGGAATTAGCATGGCCATACATTTGTTCCAATTACAGAAAGCAATCATCAAAGACCAGCTTACAGCGTGATCAAAATGGAATCTGACAAGCACCCCACTTCCCAAGTAGATTATGACAGGTTAGGGAGCTCTTCTTTAAAAACAAGGCTTATCTAAGCTCAGCCCTATTTCTGTCTACTGTAGACAATGTAAGAAAATTTGTTGGCTTCAACCACAGGAGCACAACGACCACTGGAGTCTCACCATGTGCACAGCCAGTTATTTAAACGCGTGACCTAATTTAAGGTTTAACTTTAGTTATCTATGTATCTGTACAGATACAGTGACAAATATAGTGAATATTGCTGAGGAAAAAACTGAGCTGTCACGACCACCTTTTCTATTCTTTCCAGTACTTTGCTTGACAGTATAAAGAGCTAATACCCAACAGGAACAGCACAACCCAGAAATCCTTTGGGCACACACAATAACTTTATAGGTCAGAAGACAAAAGACCTTGGGACCCTTGCTCTTAGATTATACTATTCTGCCCTTTAAATACAACATCCGACTTTCTTACGTGGTCAATAACCAGAGTACATATATACCAGAGATAATACACTGAGAATGTCAGCTCTTCTTTAAGAGAGAATCAATTGCTTTCGGGATGCAAGATAAACGCTTTGTGGTTTTAAGATGGGAAAGGTCAACACCTGACTTACGGTAGCACAAATAACTCTTATAGTACAGTCAATTCACAGATTTTAAATGTTCTCCCTCTCAAATGGACAAACCAGTAAATATACCCTTCACCTGCTACCTCTGTTCACTAATTCTGAGAAAACAAGGCACTATTTGTGTCTTTTGGGTAGCACTACTTAGGAGTCCCAGATGCACTTCATATTGTAGATGTTCGAACAGCAGAACCAGAGTTCAGACGGTTCAGCAGGAAGGCAGCGAATGAACAAGCCAGGGTCCTGCTGCTCATGAGACTTTCAGCAGAGGAACAATGTTTGCACACAAAATGTTGAGCTAACAATGCCAAGTTCTGCAGACTGACAAAACCCCATTAACAAAAGACTTCTAGAGGCACCTCTTTTTTGTCTCTTTACAGAACAGAGAACATCTTGAAGATGATTCTGATGCCATTTTCCCTGTTGCATATCAAGATACCTAATTAAATCAATATAAATAATACCAAAGGCATCCCCACTTTAGCTCTTGGCTTCCCAACAACACCTGCTTCTCATTAGGCTGTGGAGAAGCCACTTTCCTCACTGATCACCAAGCAGACCCAGGAAGATTAAATCCCTCAGCAAATCCCTCAGTCACCTTTGGTGAATATTCTTCCCCACATTAACCAGCTCAAGCCTTTGCCTAAAATGAGGCTTTTCTATCAGAACATTGATTTAGATCTTATATTCTCAAATGTTTAAAAAAGAAACCTTTATGAAAAATAGTTCTTGCAGTAACTGTAATCTTGTAATGTTTAGAGGGAGCGAACAAGATCCAGTCCCTTCAGGATCCCACTCGACCACTAAACTCCTCTCTCTAAGAATTCAGGGGTGTGAGAGCTTGAGCATCATCTTCCTCTGCTAAGCAGAATGGATGAACAAAGGCTGACGGCAGGGCAGGGGCTGCCATTACAGAGACGCATTAAGATGAGGACACATCTTCATTGTTCTTTGTTGTTCTGTTTTGCTCTCTTTCCTCAAACTTGCACAAATACACAGGAGAAGCTTCCCCAGAGCATAAATCATCGAGGGAGATTAGCCAAAAACAACAGCCACTTTGCCAGATATGAGCAATTCATATCTACCTTTATTATCACATAGTTATTTTATCAACACGATCAAAAACATTAATCTTCCTTGCAAGGAGCCGTTCACCAGCAGTACACAGGGAGCAGGTCAGCAGTACCTGCTGCATTTTTTAAATTAATCCACTGAGGGAATACTGTTACAGAACCATTTAATCACGGCACTGTCATACTGTTCTGGTAAGCATATTTTTCCTTCATTAGATTGAATATATAATCTCATTACATAAATCTGACACACTGACTAACTCATAAATCAGCCTGGGCTTTTGTTGGCTGCACTTTGAAAAGCAGCACAGGAATCTTGGCTTTGGAAAGACGCATTGGGTTGTTACATCCTCCAGACATTCAAGGACCATATGCTGTTAACGCACGTTTTCCTTTATTGTTTCTCTGTATGTTGCACACAGCTAATGCAGTTACGACTTAAACCTCAACCAGCAGGGGAAGGCAAGAGAGGTCGGCATCTCCTAAGCACAGTATGCACCAGGGCTGCATTTTCTTCTGTAATTCAGAGTTTGAGCTAAGCCCAGTTTGCAGTGGAACAAACTGTGCAGGCCTTGAAATCTCTACTAAAAATGGATTTTGCTCAATAATCCTGAGGAGGGAAAGAAGGCTAACACAGCGGGGATGAGTCACAAGCACATTCATATCTACTCTGCATCGAGTACAGCAACAAACGTGGCAGACTGGACGTTCACCTACAGATACGGATGTGCGCTGGGTCGACTCAGCCAAGCTGCTTTCAGACTCTGGCATAAAGGTACATTGCTAAATATACTGCTAATCCTACCCTGACTGTTAAAAGAGGCAATCAGAGCCTCAAAAACACAGTGAGGATGTTTTGAAACAATTAGCTTCCTACAAAGTCCAATTTGAATAACAACTTGTAACAGAATTGAACATCAAACTGGCCCATTTGTAATGATCTTTCCCTTAAAAGTGCATTTATTTTTAAGTGGTCTTTTGAACTTAAGGGTTTACAAGCCTTGGTCTTACAAGTAACTTGCGGCAGCCAGGTGCTAAAAAGGCAATCTCATTAACAGGTAATATATGTTCTAGATATTGATCTACCACAACCTATGGTTTAGAAACAAGAGGGTGGACTAGTGCATTCTGAGTATCAAGATACATGTTCTAAAACTGTAAGGAATAAATCACTCCCCTTTGCTTAGCTATGTGGTCTCCTAGTCCTGATGACCACACCAACTCCTGGGCTCCTATGCTGACATCACGGAGCACGGAGCTGTGCAGTTATCCTGTTCCCAAGAGTTACAGCCAGCCATTAACACACAACACTGCTCTCCTTGGTGAACAGGGGTCTGCAGAAAGAACTGCAAGATAGGAACTGTGAGGTGTTCCCAAGTGAACATCTTTAAGATCTATTAATGAATCCTTCCTCTCTACTTCATGTCCTTTTTGCTAGAGTAATTACTTAAACACTATGGCTGCATTTGAAGAAATACAGTTATCAGCTGTGTTACAGGATGCAGACTAAATGCAGCTGAGCACCAGATCTGCAACTTCAGTAACTTACATCTCAGCTCTCCATAGCACTTCAGGGTTGCGCACGCAATTGTAACACAGCACAGAAAGAAAGAAAAAGATCATTAGTTTAAGCCGCACAACCAGGTTTCTCAATTTTTCCAATCCACATAATTGGCCATGTTGCTCTGAAATATATACAGCTGCTCGGCTAATAAAAAATGCTAAAATATTTGCCATGTTTTAAAAAGACTACCTGTTCTAAACAAAGGCTCAGCCTTTTTAGAGACAATCCCCAATTACATAGGATCACAATGAAATCTAAAGCTTTTTTCTTTATCATATTGAGCAATGGCATTAAACTGGTTTTTACAAGCACTGATAATCACCAGCCTTTTACTTTGAAATCTGCTCTTTGTTTGAACCTCTACAGAATATTACTGCAGGCTCTGTGCATTACAGCTGCTCGTGTAGTAGCTAATCCAGGATCCAGGCTGAGGAAGAACGCGCTTGGGGTGTTAACATGAAGCACTTCAGGAAAGACAGACAGGAAGATAACACTGAAGCACCTTTTCTTTCAAGAGAGAGATGATGGAGGGCAGGGGTTTTACCTTGTCATTCCTCCGGGAATCCAGGCACAGGCACAAACAAAAGGCTTTAACCCCGCAGATGTTTTACAGAACCAAGGCAGGCTACAGAGCATTAAATGATTATCCTGCCCTGAACCCAATCAGCCCAGACCAGACCATAATGAGTTATCCAAAACAACTGCACATTCCACAATCTCTGTTAAAGACAGATATGAAAACTGGGAATGAGAAAGCTGCTCCTAAAATTGCCTAAAAGCCCGAAACTTAACAGGCTACATTTGTGTGTGTCTGCAAGAGAAAGAAATGGCAGCAGTTTAAAATGTAGAACAAAGAAAACGGCAGTAGAAATTACTAGAATAATTAGGCTGCACAATTACAAGTAAGCTGCTGCGTGGTTCCAGTAAAACGGAATCGACGTCTCCACGTTGCTCCGTTTCAGTTGGCGGGGTGTGTTGAGAGCTGATAAAAAGAGATTAGGGAAGGCAATTTGATCCTTCAGAAATATGGAGAGACTCTTGCATGCAACTTTATGTTCTAAATGGTTTCAAAACTGCCTTGCTCACATAAGCGACCATTCAGTTTTATTGGACTACTAACTGCTTTAATCTGTGGCCTTTTTCACTCTATGTACAATGTGCTGCATAGGATCTAATTAAAAAAACAATTCTTAAATACAAATAAGGGTGGTGACTTCCACAGTGATGTAAGTACTTTACAAGTCTCCACTACTTTATGCCAAAAGTGATCTTATATATAATTCTGCAAGGAAAACATTAATTTATTAAGTGCCTGGGTGATTCATATCATTTTTGGAGGATGTGGTGGTATGTATATGAACTGTCATTAAAACACTGCTTTCTAGAATTTTAGTTTTTCCTGAAACTTAACTAATTCTAAAGTGTATTTCATGAGTAGCAATGCCACAGAACGCACATAACCAGAACGAAAGGGAAGTCCCTCTACCATAACTTTAAGATCTTGCACTTGCCAACTGGCTCGGCACCCGAATGAGCTGCAGGCTATGAGCACCCCACACTAAGCAGAGTACCTCAAAATTAATCATTTTAATATCTTTATTATAGCTTACAGGTCTGATCTGCTCACCGTCATAATACAGCATGGACTGTTTCAAGGTGAACGCGTCTCTTTAGTGAAATTATCAATTACAATTAAACTTGAGTTTACCGTGCGATCACATAGTCTTTGTTAGAGGCTGGGAGCAGTTCCAGCAGATCTAAAATGGGAGACACAGGTCGGCAGAGGGGCTGGTGTCTGCGTGGACGGATGTACCCACTGAAACCACTTCTCATTAGTAACAGGAGGAATTCCCTTCATTCCTTCACAACGAAAGAGGAGTCGACTTCGCCATCGCTGCTATAATGTGACCCAATTTTGTCATGTATAAGTTGACTATTAGAGTTTTAACAACATCCATTAATCATATATATGTATGTATGTGTGTGTGTATATATATATATATATATATATATATATACAAAAGACACTGTTGGCTGCAGCAGTTACTTAAGGAAAAGCGGTCCTGGGAAGAGCCTACATTTAGATAAATAATCATTGATACATACTGCACATACTGAGATGTCTGTGGTGAAAAATGAAACACACTTATTGTATTTGTAACTAATGTACCTTAGAAGTAAACCAAATATTGATATTCCAGACACAAGAGGCAAGATCTATAACTAACTGCATAAAATGCATGCTGTTTGCATTTAGTAATCATACTGTTTTCTATAACGAGAAACAAGATTCATTGAAGACTATAATTCACTAGCCTTTTTTGCTAGTGTTTTATTACAATACAGTTACCCTGCTATATTACATTTTACAGTATGTGTACAAGTCCCATAAATATACAGGCCTATGTAAATAGGCGGCAATGACTCTCACTGCTTTTGGAATACTCACAGCTTTTGCATTTTATGCGGGTTTCACATTTTGTTGATGTATTTCAAAAGGAATATGTGCTGCCCAGAAGAGAAATATTTTACATTTCCAATAAAACCCATAGCAGTAAATAAACCATCAGAACTCACGCAGATATTCCCTGGAACATCTACAGCAGTCCATTAAAATGTCAAAACCTATGTTAAACATTTGAGGAAGTAGCATCAGATCCAGCACACTTAAAAGTTTTTAAAAAACACATTAAATGATAAAGATATTTGAGAGCATTCTACAAACCTCAGCAGAACACTTGGATCAACACATGCTTCAACACTCATCAGCAGCACAACAGCTGCCCATTTATTGTAACAGGAAGAGCTGCAGGGAAAGCTGCAAGTTGCTGCTAATGCTCGTGAATACCACAAGCTCTGCAGAAGTTTGGTGTCAGAGAGCACTTGTTTGCAATAAGAGGGTTTACAATAAACATGAACGTCAACTTCTCAGTTCTGCACCTCCTGCACTGCAAGCGGCTTCACCAGAGGCTCCCACCAGGCATTTGAAGCTGGGAATCCCACCACAAGTCAACGGGACTCAGGCCTGGCAGTATGATCACTGGAGCGCTGTTCCAGCACAGTCTAGAAAGCTGAACATTTTTAGTTTATTTATTTACAGGAAATTAGAGGGTTATAAAGGCTCATCTCAAACCCCATGGTTTATATACAGCTTCAATAGGAAGGGCTTGACTTTCTATTAAAGGAATGGTATAAATCAGCAGTAACTACTGAAGATGAGAGAATTCACTGAATTCACCAAAGCTCACGGCGTTTCTTTCCATGACAGTTATAGGAATTGCTCCGTGTTTGCAGGAGTACCATCGTTCCTCAAATTTAAGACACATTAAGTTCACATTAAATCCGTGTCTGAGGAGGTCACACAGACTACTTTTGATGGTTAATCTGAATGCAGAATACGCCGTGTCCAATTAAAATGGCATTTAAAAGCAGGTTAGCACATCAAGGCCACTGAATTGAAGAGTAACAACCTGGGACACATCGGGAACTTCAAAGCCCTTGTGTCAGTGCAGGAGAGCACATTTCCAACCTGCCCCAACACATGCCAACCCCTGCCCCAAACAGTGAAAGGAACTCGGGCAAGTTGTTCAAGGGGATGACTAACTGCAAAAGTAAGCATTTCTTTTTGCTCCCATACCCCAAGGAAGTAATACTTTACTCTGTGAAGCAATAATAAAGCGAAGCGTACAGAACACATCATCCCAACCTTAACTAAATGGGTATTGACGGAGCACTTACCAGGCAATGCTTCAAGATTGGCCTGACAACATCAGCGAGTACAACATCATGGCTATCACGGATCAGGCAGCGAGAAGGAATTACCAGCAATGAGCTAGAAAGGATGTTATAATTTATTCTGTTTGCTGACTCTATCCCAAAGCACCAAGATCTATTAATCATATTGATTCCAGATGCTACATCTGAGTTGGTACGGAGCTGCACAAATGACAGAAGCAAGCTGGCCACATTCTTCATTGTTTTACTTTGAAAGTAATTGAGTTTGTCACGAGGAGATAGCAACTCCAGCACTTAGGATGTCCTTAAAATTAATAGAAAAGAAAATATCCTTTGGCAAGAGTACCGGAAAACACCAAGGTACGATTAGAATGACCAACCTGCCACAATATAAAGTCTTATCGAAGTTGCTTTACAGAGCCAAGATAATAGTTATGAACCCCACTAGATCATATTAATGGCAGAACTATAATACATCGAGCAAAAAGAGAAATTATTTCAACCGGGAAGGAGGATGGATAAGAGATTATTAAACAACGGAGAAGAGACAGAGAATGCTAATATCGATATACAGCAGGACGCTATCAAAGGCAGCAAAAGGGAGGGGCTGTTTTTATAGCCCTCCCCACCAAACAAGAGACACTGCAAGAAACTGAGAGCCGGCTGGGGAGCAACCAGAAAACCAAACCAAAGCAGCAGCAGGGTTGGCCTTGCAAAGAGGGGCAGGTGATGGGCAAAGGCTTGTACTTGGCTTTTTCAGAGAGAGAACTTGCCTGGCTTCCCACACGTTCATCCTGCCAATGGAAACCAGGAATAGCTGCACTCGTGCCCTTGGAGACAAATGGGCTCTGCAAGAGAAGAATGAGGGCCCGAGGTACCCACCTGGCAGCCTCATAGAAGCCACCAGCAGGCACAGGCTCAGCGGGGAGTAGCTGCTGCCTGTGCTACATCACAACTGCCTCTGCACATCCACTCCACGCTAAATGAGGCCCCTATTGCAAACAATTAATAAACATCTCCATGGGGAAAATCTGTTGTGGGGTTTGAAAGCCAGAACTGTGTCTTCCCTAGGCCAATTCTGCATCAACAGCGAAAGAAATGGCTCTGGTCCCACCAGGCCTTTGCCAGCAGAGACTCTGTTATATTTAAATCAACATTTGCCGCAGCAGGGATTATCAGACGCTCTGCTTAAATACTGGATTTTCTTTTTTGTTGTGATATTTAGCTCATAAAAACTGAATTTATTTGGGTTGGTGCTGATGCCTATAAGCACAGCTGCTCAGCAACTCTGTTTTGCTTCCTGTGCCAAAGCACAAGAATTTCAAACCTCTTTGGGATCTGCCAAGTGTCACAATTTGGGTTTTCTTCCTCCGACTGCAGTGGCAACACACCCAAAATGCCCCAATTCCACAGCAGTCTCCTGCACTGGCACTGGGGACCTGCAGCATTTCCTCATATTCCTTCCTTCAGAGGAACAAACTACACGAGGGCCATCTAAATGATACAGAAGAGTAAAAGGAAAGGTAATATGGTTTGTTGTACAACAGCTAACAGCAGTCACAGAAACTGCTGCTGCCACCTGAAGATTTATGGGCAGTATAATCCGACACATTTAACAGTATTTCATGTACAAGAGACGGGCTTTGGTTCCATGAAGTCTGTAATCAAATTCTTGGAAAGGGATCGCACATTCAGGGGGATGCTGCTTAAGTAACGGAGAGCATCTCTTCCTGAAGACCTAGCTGACACAAGCAACTGAAACGTGCTGCTAAATGAATCACGACAGTGCAGTGCATTTTAGAGGAACATTAAAATCAGTGCTCGCCTCAGCAGGACTTGGCACTTCTCATAGTTGCCTCTACAACATTAAAGCTGAAAGAATCGTGTGGTTCTTTATTTACAGTCCTCCCTGATTATTTGCTTTTACTAATGTATTATTCAGCTTAAAGACTATTTACTAAAACTGTGTGAGCACACAGACCATTGACAGTGTCACATTAGCTTCCATTATTTGTAAATTAATTTATACAAGCAGAGCTTTAAACCATATAAAGCTTGGATACTTTAAACCAACAATACAAACCTTTAATCCATGTTCTCCGTTTTTTTTATTTTTTTTTAATTTTAACTTAATTCAGGTATTTTCAGCACCACTGATATCACAGGATACTGAAGCCTTATGCAGCCAAAAGAGGTGGTAGAAAAAGACGTAGAGAAATTCTGAGAATTAGCAGGGGTTAAAATCACTTATGTGAGAATATCTGAAAAGTGCCTAGGAATGTGGAAAGAAATATTGGGAAATAAAAGTACTCACTCCTGATACTTCAAAGAAACCTTGCCTTCTGCTTCTTTAAAGACTAATCACCTCAGAGCTCTAGAATTAAGTGCTGATTTAGGTCACTTACATGAAGAACATTTATTTTTAATGCTTCTATCCTTAGATTTAACAAACCTTGGGCACCTTCAAGGTGCAGAAAAACAATTCCAGAGACAAAGATTTATATTGTTGTTAATGGGGGCAGGCTCACATAAATAATTGAGCTGCACTTAAATTTCATTCCTGTTGTAGAGTGTCTGCCTCTTATTGAACTGCACTGCATTATTAAGAGGTCTGACTCTATCAGTCAGTCATAGCCATTGTCAGAAATAAATCACTAGATTAGCTTGTGACTGCGGCGAGCACAGGAAATGTGAGCTCTCTGGGAAAATAATGCTCTGAACGTGATGGAATACAATGATCACAATCTTTTCCAAGGCATTCGGGCAGATATTGGCATGATGACAGGAAAGGCAAATGAGTCTCTTCTCTAGACTGTTTTCTGTTTCTGTTTGCATTTCTAGGGCCATGCAGAGTATGGATAAAGCAAAACAAAACCCAATGATGCCACCCTGAACATTTATGAAACAGAAGAAAAGCTTCCATAGTTACTTCAAGCCTTATGTTTTCATCTAGGGCTTCATCCAAATTCTAACGAAATCAGCGCTGGGATCAGGCTCGTAGACATCTGGGGTTTGAAACCTTGGCTTCTCGGTACCCACACGCACTCCACACAACTGCTGCTGTTATTTCCCTGTTATCTCCCATCCAAGGGTTGAATGGGGCTGGTCTTAACTTGAAAAATCACAAAAGCTTCTAGCCTATCTAGAACTGCCACACAGCACAGCCATGATCCTGGGCACCTGGTTTCTAAAAACACTCCAGTTCTTCCGAGTAGACTGCTGGGCTTGATAAGCACTGGAGGAGCCCTGCACGCAGAGGCTCTATGTGAAATTCCCTTGTCCAAAGCAGTATGACCTGTTAAGATTTACAGGCTTTATTAGCAGCAATAACAATTTTATAATCAACATCAGTAAATCAGGGTTTATTGAGAACTCTGCAGCGCTAATCTGTAGAAAACAATTAAAATGTCAGCATTTCATTGGATATAATTCCTAGCCTTCATAAAAGAAAGATATTTGGTTTAATTGTTGTGTGTAAAGCAGTGGAGTTCAGAATGATAAATTTCTCTGAAAACACATTGGTTTTCTGCTGAATGAGTACCAAGCAATGCAATCATCATCTTTAATTAGGACCATACTCATAAATAATAGGATAAGGAAAAATGAACATACATAATACAGAGTGCACAGTATAAATTCTGTTTCTGTGCACTGGTTCCACATGATCTCTGAACTGTAAAATTGCCAACTCTCCCAAGTTTGACTCAAGTCTCACAATACTTGATGTTTTCTTTAAGTCTCAACCTCTGCAACCAAGTAATAACTTGGTTATCACTCAACTCCTGCCATTTTGAAGCCTCTCCATTAGTTCTTGTCTAGATTCAGCCAGCACATTTAAAACATATTTAAGGATAAAAGGAAGAAAAAACAGAATCATTAGCAGCAGATTTTCACTCTGCAGCAACCATCAGAAGTTTTTCATGCTCACTTTTCAGCAAAAAAAGAGATTTATGACAGGAAAAGTAACACTGTTTCCATTTTTTCAACACAACACCAGAAAACATCAAAAACGGGGGCTCTTCAGCAAATACCCAGACTTCTGATAAAAATACAGATTTTTGTAAAACTTCATCCAAAATACGCTTTTAAGCAGCCCAGGAAAGAATAGCGGCGCAGCCACCCCGCCGGCAGGCAGAGCACAGGCTGCCCAAGGCGCCTCCGCTCCTCCCCGCGTCCCGCGCGATCCTCACCTCAGCGGCAGGAACCCCCTCCGGCGGGCGGCAGTGCAGAACGATCATCCCTTCGATGGGCACCTCCTTCCCCTGGGGGTCTTGCTCGAAGTTCTTCCGTAGATCTGGGGAGAGTTCAATGCAATTGTTCATTTCATCCCCCTCCAGTGAGGCTTCTCTGGATAAATACCGAATTCTAACGCTGCCACACAGGTATTTTAAAAGCCATTCCTCCTTAGCCAATATTATACAGACTACAGAAGTCATATTCTGTCATAACCTTCTCTTTTGTATGTACTGGACAACTGATAGTCACTCCACCTTGCACAGAGGAAGGAAGCAGGGGAGGTCCTATCGTCTGTAGCTCTGTTTTTGTACCTCAGCCCTTCAGAAATCATTTGTGGCTACAACCACAACCAACACTGCAGCCCAACAGTGCCATGTTTTCAGCCCTGCATACTCTCTCAAGTCTTTGCTTTGCAAAACGAGGAGCAAATCGCTCTAAGTGTCCCTGTGTGTGCAGGGGGTTGGACTAGATGATCTCTAGAGGTCCCTTCCAACCTCAGGGATTCTGTACAATGCTACAGAAGTCCCACGGTGCTGCTAGGGCGTGATGGCTGCCCAGGGAACACAGTCACTTTGTATTTCAAACTGAGCACAGCACAGGTGCCTCTGAGGAGGCTCTGAAATGCAACAGCCAAAGGCTCTGTCTGTTACCACAAGCTAGACCTGCACGTTCTCCTCTCTAGTCCCCTGTGGAGTGTTCCCCAAGTCAGAAATTTATTTCCCAAATTAAGCAGCAAGGCTGCTCGCTAGAGACAAGATGACACAAGTCCATTAGAGGGTGAGCCCTGAAAATTCACGGTGCGAGATTTATAGACTCCCACTGGCAGTTCATCATTTCCTTCTATCTGGACTGCTAACAAATCCCATCATCTCCGCACTCAGGAAGGGCTGTCCCTTTGTCATTACAGACACAGCTTGGAGTAGAAGTAGCATCGCAAATAGCCAGTGCAGGAACACCACTCTCAGGTGCAATATTCAGCCACAGTCAGTACATTACACAGGGTAAAAAACCAAGAGCACTCTCTGGAGCATCTGTGAGGTCACTAAGTTATCTCCAGTTCTGCTCGGCAGCTGGGGATGTGGTTGCAGCAGGTCTGGGAGCACAGTGAGGGGTGGGGGAGTCCCAACATGCAGCTCCACCTGTTCCTGCTCCTTTTTACTCCCACTGCCGTGTCACGGGTTGGGGGATCACAGAGCAAAGTCAATAAAAAATTCAATCTGGAGTAATAGTCCTTTGCAGCTCAGCAACATGAGGGAATTATCAGCTCATTCAATACTATAACAATTAATGCAGTGAAATAAAAATTTGAATTTACGTATATTTGCACATTCAAATTAAATCAGCCAAAAAAAACCACCCTGTCACGGTGCAGTTACGTGGTCCTAGTTACTGCTCCCGAGTGTTTTAGTCTCAGTTACCCTGTTAAAAGGGCAAACTGCAGAAAAAAGATCTATCAATAACTGCTCGGACAGAACCCAAAGTGCCATTCGGCGTTTTCTTGATCACCACCTCACACAAAAGCAGCTTCCTTCACATCTCTCTTCAGCCTTTGAAGACACAAAATGGTGATTTAAAGGAAAAGGTTTCATGAGAGTTTTGGGGGAAAGTCATTTCCCAACTTCACTATTAGCATATCTATCTATCTATATATGTATAAAATAAACTCCAAAGAAAGGCCGTTTTCCACACCACTCAAAGCCTAGAACAGCAGAACATTTGCTCCACTCACAAGCTATGCGCACGGCTGCCTTCCTGCTCTTGGAGGTCCCCAGATGGCTCCATGCAACACACTGACACCAGTAATCCTCTGGCCCATGAAAATCCTCCACCTGCTGCCTCGTCACGTTGATGAAAACCTCTCGAACTTTTAAGCCTGAGGAGGAAAGATAGGTAAAATTAGCTGATATTAGGGTCTCCTATTTGGGTAGAGAGCTATGGTTAGCCACATCTTTTCTTTTAAATAAACAACTCAATTTTTAATAAAGGCAAAATTTTAATTACTTGGAGAATAATTTATATGCCCAGGAGGTTATGTAAAGCAGAGCAGTCTAAGGAAATGCACAGGAAATGCTGTATAATCCAAAGGTGGGTTAAAAGGCCTATGTTCTTTGTTGATCATCGCTATAGCTCACTAACCAGATGTATTCACCTACCTTCCTCATTTCAAGAAATGACAGAAAAATTATTTGGAGAAAACAATACAGAATGAAAAGCACATGCAAATAAAAACAGGCATGTCACGAACAAGAGCAACATGGCACCTGTAACTTCTGTACCTCTAAGAAGCACCGCAAGTCCAACCCTTTAAATTATTGTGCAAATTACAACTCTCATCTTTTGTTATACACTACAGCGTTACAGAATATGAAATTATGACTATGGTACTGAAATGCTAATAGGTTTTCTGCACTGTTGGATGGTTTAGATGCAGATCGACTAATGGTGGCAGCAGATGAATAATTGCTTTCTATGTACTAAACATAACAGAGCTGCACAGAACTTCAGCATTTGTCAGCTTTATTTGTTTAAATGAGAAAAACGCTGACAGCGGTTATTGCTGTAATTCTTTTATTTATCAGATAGGAAAATTCTAGTTACTCTTTGTAGGTCTTTATCCTGTAGGAAAACCAAAAGTTGAAATATTTTAAAATTAATTCTAGGGTACAGGCTGCAATGTCCAGGCAAGAAAATCAAAGCAACTTTTTTGCCTTTAGCCTTAGATTTTCTCTTGCTTTGGAGCATTGTTGTTATTTTTAACCATTTACCTACATATTCTGTCTCAACAAAGAGTGGAAGTGTGGAAAAGAGGGAGCCCCCTTTCACTGAGCGGGACTCCCTTTCAAATGACATTGAACATTATGGCCCTCTCGGACCGGACCGACCAGGGCACTATTCTTGGTCTGAAACCTCATGCAGCTCGTCACAGATGGGAGGCTGCACAGTATCCACAACACTGGGCATGCCTGGTAACAGACACGTTTATATCCCAGATCTGGCTCCACAAAAAATACGACACTGATATTATGCACATTAAAAGAAAATAAACAAAACCAAAAAGAATAGTCTGTTGTCCACTGAGGACTGGGGAAAATTCCAAAGTAATTTATGGATAAATCATGGGACAGTCTGTTCAAATCTGCCCTTCAACATTTTATTGCATTTGGACTTGGACTGTTATGTTCTCAGGCCCATTACAACAATCTTGAGAGCACGCGGAGCTGTCTGGACCACACTTATGGTCAAGGAACAGCAGTTTGGGGCTAGCTCTGCCACAGGCTAAACTCAAACCTGCGGTCTTTATATTCCATATCCCATGTTCTATGTTGCAATGGTGCTATTAAAAAAAAAAAAAAAAAAAAAGGTAAAATAGATCCTAATGTCTAATGTTGCTTTATCTTTCTTTATTCTGTTATTAATCCAAGGCTTAGAAAATGTAATTGCAGTGTTCACAAGACAGAATTTCATTAACCATATGGAAGAAAAAACATTCAGGAACGACATTTCTTACATATTGATTCAGCAATGCCTTTGGAAGTAAAGGTTATGCTTATTAAATTCTTTTCAAAAAGGTAAGAGTAAAAATTAAAATTCATCCAGATTAGCATTTAACAAAAAGCCTTTAGTATGAAATTTCTTCAGAATGTGTCACTTACAAAGGAACACCAAATACCACTGCAGCTTTAGGAGATGTAACTTCTTTTTAAATGGCATTTTCCCCCTAAAAAGGCATTTCTTGTATTGATAGAGAGGATGTTTTACCTACACTGCTATTTCTAAGACATGGAGTTGCCTAGCAATCTTGGAATTTAAAAGGAGGAACAAAGCAATAACAAAACAAAATTGTGAAATTACAAGACGGCGCAGCATTAAATTGGTTTGCAGTACTTATCAAGGGGCTCCTAAATGAGAAAGGATAGAGGCTGTGTTGGGAGCATGATAAAATCTGCTGAGCGTTTCTCAGCGCTTTCTCTTCTCCTTCCCTCCTTTCAGACAGACACTTCTGCCCAATGGATTCCTCCACCCACTCAGCTTCGTTACCCACCTCGCCCTTACCACCGCTGGGCGAAGGGCAGTTTCCAGCGCTGCACCACAGCCAGCCCATCCCTGCTTTTCAAGCTTCCTCCTGCCTGAGGAATTCCCTAAACGCACAGCTCTGCCTTCTTTGTAGCTCCATTAATACACAACCAAAAGAGGCAAAGCTCTTGCTGCTCTGGAACCCTTATTTTCTTTCAGAGAGCTCTCTGGTTAATGGGCAATCAGGCCCCAAATCTCTACTTGGGAAAGCTGGTGCGGTGTGTTCATTTGCTACCCTCTCTGCACAAAGCCTTCTGTATCTATGACTGGTTTTTCCTCACACTTTTTCCCGTTTGTGCTATTCCTCTTCTCCCAGGATGTGTCTTTGCCTCCTTAGCCCTGTTTGATTTTAGCTACTGCTTACAGATGCTGCATTCAAACCCATTTGTGGAGAGATACACAAGCCCTACCTGTAGCCTCGTCCATGCTTTCCTCAGACACGTGCTCATTCTGATGCACCCATTCACCATTGCACTTGAAGAAAATCTGCATAGCCGGCATAGCTTTGCAACGTAGCACGATGGGGTTGCTTTTGATAATGTAGGCATCATCTGGTTCCTCCATGAAATGCGGCAGTGTTCCAGGAGCAGATGGGATAGACTCGGGAAGAGCTTCACTATTATCATTTCCTGAAAAGGAAGGAAAGGAAAATAAACGTTTTTCATGTTGTTCCATTCCTATGCATCACAGCATGTACTGGACTAAATGCCATTTGAGATTTTATTATAAGCTACCACCACCTGAAGAAAACAAGAGTTGTCTGTGTTTGGTTTTGCATGGCATGGACAAGAGAGGGAGGGGCATGCACCCATGTGCACACGCACACACACACTCAGATGTAAATGCTACTGAGAAAATGGAAGCATCAGAAAAATGCACCATCACTCTATGCAATTTCACAGATGGGGAACTGAGGCACAGAGAGAATAAATGAGACACATAAGGTCAGAGAGTCTGTGGATGAACCACGAATGACAGCCCAGTGCCTTAACTACCCCAGCCCTGCCTTCTCCGCCAACACTGGATTTAACTTCCTTTGGACAGTCGCTGAAGATTTAACAGGGATTGGAGCATTAACCACAGAGAAATACACGGTATGAACAGCATTACTGTAGTACTCCAGCAGTGGAATAAGCAAACTGTGATTTCATACCCACTTCCAGGAATGTTTCCATGTGCTTTTACACTGATTTCATTTACTGCAGCCTCTTGAAGGTGATACAGAAGTGGAAAAGTCCAATTTCCTCAATCTCTCTGCTCCACCATGAACACAGAAGAACAGAAACACAAGCTGCTCCTTACAACTCTTCAGTGAGTCAAATCCTCATCCTAAATTCACTGTTTAGGGCCTTACACACAGGACAAAGTCCTGGCCCCAGCAAAAATGGAGAGCTGAATGTTCCTTGCACGTGGGGCAAGGTGGTGCTGCGGCTTCCAAGTCCTGCTGGGGGCAGTTCTTGTGCTTCTGAAGCTACCTAATGGGAGAAAATTCACTGTGGATTTCCATTGCTAGCCTTTTTTAATGGAGATGTTACTTTTCTCCATATGGCCACCTAATTAGACAGGGCCTGCAATCACACTCATTTAATGTGTTGCAGTAACTGCAGCTTTTACATCTTAAATATTTAGTGTGATTTACGATACACAAGTCTTTCTTAACTGGTCCTTTTAAACAGAAGACACAAATAGCAGTCACTTTAGATATATTACCATTCAGATACAAAAAATGCCTTTTGCATCTTGGAGCCGTAATCAAACCCTAGAATAGCTGGTGACCAACAGAGAAACTCTTCTAAAGTGTACTTAATGCATATATTTCTTAATTTGTCTTTTCTGTTGCGCATCATCTTCTTCAAGTCTTGTTTTCAAATCAGGTGAAGCCTACTGGAACTTTGGAAGGGTTTTGATTTCATATTATTATGGCTTTTTAACTGCCAGTTTTCAAGATTCAGGCCATTCAGAGTTAGAGAAAAATGGCTGTTTTAATGCAACAGTGAATGACAGAAGACCAAACAATCAAATACAATTCTTGTCTTTTTCATTCCTGGAAAATTACTTTTCAGGAAGTGCTTTGTGTTTAATGTTCTGCACGCTAGTACAATAGGGAATTTAATTCTTTTTATGACAATAATAGAAACAAAAAAGAAACAAAGGGAAAAAAATGGAGCAAACATGAAGCTCTTCTGTGGAATAAATACACCGCTGCTGGCTGTCAACTCACATTTTAAGCTCCTGATAGCACCAGAGATACTCTTGGCATTAGCAGTTAGTTTCTTTATTAGACTCTTGGCAGTCTCCTGCACTCTGGAGTTGAAGGAAATGATCAGCGATGACCAGACTTGGCCTTCTCCGTGCCTGCTTCCCACTGCCTTTTCCATGTATCTAATACTAGTAATTCCTGCTGATCTTTGAACCACCTACAGTCCATTATTTGATAAAAACTAATGTCAACTGTCTTCTCGATGCAAATTTATTTTTTATAGGGAAGTCATACGATGAAAAAATTCATGTTACAGAAGACAAATTCCTTTTCTGCTTCTCTGATGAAAACGCTTAATGAACCAAACAGAGAAATGATTTAGGCAGTTATTGTATACTCGAGATGCACATGAACTAACAAAGTATTTTGGACTGAATTTGTATCAATTACTGTGACTCCAGAGCAGAGAGAACCTGGAACTGCTAAACAGATAAACCTGCTTCTGAATAACAAATATCTTTTGAAGTAGCAAACATCAAAGCAATGTATATCTGCAATGGTTCTGTTTCTGAGTATTCTAAATGCATTTTTTTTCAAAGTTGTGAAGCATAAATAAGTTCCCCTAAATCAAACAGGATTCTAGGCTGGTGAAATTATATTATACTCAAACTACTGCTACTCAATTTTCAAAATGGACTGAATCTCATAGGAAAAAGCCTGGCGTATGTGCTAAGTACCAAGCAAATAGAATGGTAAGGAACAAACTCTCTTGTTAACCATGTTTGTACACCTAGGAGTGAGGAAGTCCTCAGGAAGTCCCAGTTTCAGGGCAGTCTATAAAGAAATGAGTACTTTAACCAACTGATTAAGCAACCAAAGAGTACGTTTTTTTTACTGAGTTTCAATTAACATGCAAGGAGGGAGTATTTCTCCTGCTTTTAAGTTAGATATCCGAGGTAATCACCATCTGTGTTTTTAAGATGCTCTGTTAGAACTGACACCTCATCGGATGCCACCTCGTGGGGAAGCTGAAATAAACCACGAGTCTCCCATGACTGTGCCAATAAAATCTGTTACACTAACAGGATCTGAGCCTAACTCGTGTTTGCGAACGATTGTGAAAGCGAAAACACAGAAGTTTCAGCAATTAACTCAGGTGCTTGAGCAAGGGTAGGTGGTCTCTGAACAAGAGGGAGCCTGGTGGGAAGTCAAGGATTGCTTTAAAAAGCGCTCCAGAACCAAAATCACTTCTGTATTTCACATCTTTGCAGCCACTATCTTCTAAATTTTCAGCACATGTTGAAAGTCACAAGTGCAGCGTACACATCTCAGCAAGCCAACAGTTGGTATCAGTATATTAGTTTCATCAGACCCTCTTGCTTCCTATGGATATAAAGTATAAACTTTCAGCAACTGCACCATAATCCTTCTCATCAAATATTTGGGCGACAGGTGGAAAATTGTTCTGCCAGCTGAGGAAGACAAAATCCATTCCTCCTGGCAATTTTCTGCAATGAAAACTCCAAAAAATGAATGTGCAATAAGTTGTGGAAATAAATCTAAAATATTATCACAGAAAAGCAGCGTGCTCAAAATCTTTAGCTATAAAATCTCTCTTATCTGAATTAAAAAAAAAAAACTGTTTCTGAATGTGCATAGGACCAGATATTAAATATTAGCTTAGATGTCTCTACTTGAAACTATTAGCTACAGATTTGCAGTTTTGGGGTTTTTTTTGGCTTTTTTTTCCCCATGTTTTCTTTACCTTGAAATGCACTATGATCGCAGCTTCTGAAGCATCTTGCATGAATCAGCCAAGTCTGATGACAAATCTGGACAGTAAATATTATTACTGGGTGATTAAGAGCAAGTCGTGACACCAGGAATAGAATGTGAGGAGCAGCAACCCCTAGCACTTAGTGAAACCACGCTCCCTTGCGCACATGGGTCTTTGTTATTTACAAGAGTTTGGATGACAGAATCCAGCTTATTAGCATGAAAGGAGAATGAAATTCAGGATATAATCATGAAAGTGAGCTGTCTTAATAGCATTAAAAATCAACTGTGAAGTATATCATTTTTAAAATGCCTGTTTCTCTACCCACTTCAGAAACCTTTTCCTACGTAACCTACCTTACATCCACTAGGTCTGAACATTTTCAATACAGAGAAGGGCATGTAAGAGAAAGCCCTGCTTCTCCAAAAAGCCACTGCAGGCTCCCGAGCTGGTGAGTGGGAGCGGCTGGTGAATGACAGAATAACCTGACTACAAGCAATGCAGGAAACCTGCTTTAGTGACTCACTGCTCCTTGGCTAGGCTAGGAAAACTCACCTGCACTGAACAGTGAATCGATGAGCTTGCTTGAAGCACATATTTCTCACTGACTAGCAGCTCACACGCGTGCCCCTCGCCATGCCTCAGGAGATGAGCAATATTTCCTTAAAGCATTCTGATCACAGGGAAAAACCAACCTGCAGCAAACTAAAAACTCCAATTTGTCCACAAATGATGAGTATAAAATAGGATTTCTTCCAAGTACAATTACTGCCTTATCACAGCTGCTTGTCAAACTTTGGGCCAAAAAGCAGGACCTGATGCTGCAAGTGTTTCAAGCACAGCATCAGGGCAATAATAAATACGTTGAATTCATTCCCAATTCATAACTGCACATGTGGTAGAATGCTTATTCCCAGCTACAGCAGCATTGTCTTTACTGAACGAGCCACAGAGCTTTCTGCAAACTCATTGCACAAATCAATGTTCGTTATTAAGGCTACGGGCTTTGATGTGGCCAACTGCCGATTCCACTGCTGGAGAAAATTCTTGTTGCAGAGCTATTCACAGCCAAACTGCACTAGAGACAAGTTGGTATTTTGTTTGCAAGCAAGCAGTAAGGCTGCTGTACAAGTGCTGACAATGTAGTAGAAAAGGAGCGGGCAAAGATAATCCCCACGTGCTCCAAACAGCTCTTCTCTTCAAACTACTGCAGCATCAAAGCTGTTCTGCAGATAAATGTCAGTTTAATGTCTGTTTTAAATGAGGGGCGAGGGGATAAGCTGTTTTTTCACCACAGAATAATGCAGACAAGGGCAGATGTTGCAGAACAGCATGGGCTAAGCACTATCTGCTTAATGCTATGCTCACAACCTGAGCATTAACTCCCTGCAGCCCCTGCCCATCCAGGCTGGCTCCTCAAATCCTTCCAGGCAGAGAGGAATCAATGACCTGATCATATCAAACACTGGGTGCATGTGATTGCACTGAGGAGCAAACATCATCTTTGAAACAGAGAAGGAGAAAGGTCCAGGAACCCTCACGTGCCCAGAGCCTGGCATCTGCCTGCTTAAAGTGGGACTTGTCTTCTGCTAGAGGGACAGCTGAAGACACTTAAATCACTAAGATCAACTTAAAGGTTCTGCACAAGCAAA